TACAGAGAACCTTCTGGGTGCCCCTTTCCCCCTCCTTACGCACTACCCGCCTGTTGAACAGCATGGGGGGCATGACATGTATTTCACGGGGCAGTGCAGTCGCTTTACACAGGCCACAACATAAGATAGAAATCGAGATTTGCTTTGGTGTGGTTGTGTGAGAAGTTGCATAACTAACTAGCTTCGAAGTGCACGAACGAATACAGCTAACTAACTGTGCAGATGGGGCCTGCATCCCCGTGGGGTTCCAGGCGGCGGCGCCGAGCTCAAGCCTCCTTCCTCCGCGACTCCCGGGGAGCCTGAGGCGCCTTGCCTAGAAGGGAGGAGCCAGGCAAGGCCTGCGAAGGCCCAAAATCCTGAGGTGGGGCCCTTCCTCTCCGCCAGCCACCAGAAGACCCTTTCTTTCCCAGCCACGCCTTCCTTCCCCGCTTCTTGCTGCCCTCCCTGCCCCCCGCCGCCTCCCTCAGGCCCAGGCCCAGCCGCCAAGGATACACGTTGAGGCGCTGGCCCATGTCCTGGATGAGGTTGGCCGCCTGCTGCCGGTACGAGAGCTCCTTGTCGGCCTCGACGCCGCAGCGCCGCGAAGGCGTACTCTCCAGCTGCTCCCGGCTGAAGAACCAGCGAGAGCCGCCCGCGCCACGAGATGCCGCCGCCGCTGCCGCCGCCGAGCTCGCACCAGGCCCGGAACCCGTCGCAGACGACGCCGCCATGACACGACTTCCTCCTCCACCCGCAACCGGCGCGCCCGGCTCAGGCCCCGCCCCTTCCTCCTCCTCCTCCTCTTCCCCCTCCGCCTGTTCTGCCATCGCGGCGCCTCTCGCGAGAGCTCCAACCCGCGTGGCCGAAAGCCGGCCGGCTCTACGCTGCACGCGGCCTCCAATAAACCATAGAGTCGCCGGGAGAGGTGAGAAAGGCTATAGAGGCGCTCGAATAACCTCTCCTGGATCAAACCGGAAGTCGGAGAAAGGCTTGGGAGCTTTTGTTTTAGGATGCTTCCCATGAAGACGATGTATTATGCAACAGTATAGTAATACAGAATACTAATGTTGTGCTGTGCTAATAATATATTGTATACAAATATAATATTGATAATGTTATAATGTAATACAATATAATAATACAATACAATAATGTTATATTTCATATTACATGTAATATTGCTAATAATAAAACAGAATAGTGGCATAGTATAATATAGTATTATATATTACAATATACATGGTGAGGCAGCATAACTTCTTTTTTTCAAAACTTAATAAAACCCCTTGTATGAATCAGATTTTTTTTTATATAATGTAGGCGCATACCTATTTCTAGGCGCAAAGATGACTGCAGATGCAGACTGTGGCCAGGAAATCAGAAGACGCTTACTTCTTGGGAGGAGAACAATGTCCAATCTCGATAAAATAGTAAAGAGTAGAGACATCAGACTGGCAACAAAGATCCGCCTAGTCAAAGCCATGGTATTCCCTGTAGTAACCTACGGATGTGAGAGCTGGACCTTAGGGAAGGCTGAGCGAAGGAAGATCGATGCTTTTGAGCTGTGGTGTTGGAGGAAAGTTCTGAGAGTGCCTTGGACTGCGAGAAGATCCAACCAGTCCATCCTCCAGGAAATAAAGCCCGACTGCTCATTGGAGGGAAGGATACTACAGACAAATCTGAAGTACTTTGGCCACATCATGAGGAGACAGGAAAGCCTAGAGAAGACAATTATGCTGGGGAAAGTGGAAGGCAAAAGGAAGAGGGGCCGACCAAGGGCAAGATGGATGGATGGCATCCTTGAAGTGACTGGACTGACCTTGAAGGAGCTGGGGGTGGTGACGGCCGACAGGGAGCTCTGGCGTGGGCTGGTCCATGAGGTCACGAAGAGTCGGAGACGACTGAACGAATGAACAACAACAACAGGCACATACCTAAAGTTTTGTTTTACGTAGTTTTGTAGATCAAATTAGATAGGTGACGTCCCCCATTCTCCATACACAGAGTAAACCGATTTCTGGCGTTTGTCATGACTCTTGCCAGCATAGCAGGCGTTATGTTGGCAATTTCTTCCTGGATGTTGGTCTTCAAATCTTGTAGGGTCCTTGGACTGGTCACATAAACACGAGATTTCAAAAAAACCCATAGAAAAAAATCACAAGGGGCCAAATCTGGAGAGCGGGCCGACCACTCCAAATCCGCTTGAAAAGTAGGCCTCAGCGGCAAAAGCACGCTCCTCACTGTTCCAATGCATGATGGCGTCTGAACTGTGTCAGGACAAAACTTTATACTCCCGCCTCTCAAACAAGACCACTAGCGCTCCACTAAGTCTTGAGCCGACTGAATGGCGCGCATTTTAAAAAAGGAAGTTATGCTGCCTCACCCTGTATAATACAATATATTAATATATAATTCTAATATTGTGCTATGCTAATAATATAATATATTGTATACACATATATTGATAATGTTATAATGTAATACTATATATTACTTTATATTATATTACAATATATTAGAAATAGTTTTCTAAGATCTACAGAGACACTTGCTGGAACACCTCAGCAAGCAAGAGTCCAAAAGTGGCAAGCTCAAACCCAGAACCTCAATCAATGGCTGATACCAAATGAGAGACTCCCTCTTGGGCGCACAGAAAACTGGGCGACTTGGAAAGCGCTGAACAGACTGCGCTCTGGCACCACAAGATGCAGAGCTAACCTTAAGAAATGGGGCTACAAAGTGGAATCCACGACATGCTAGTGTGGAGAAGAGCAAACCACTGACCACCTGCTGCAATGCAACCTGCGCCCTGCTACATGCACAATAGAGGACTATAGTAATATATAATACAAATATTGTGTTGTGCTAATAATATATTGTATACACATACAATATTGATAATGTTATAATGTAATACAATATAATACTAATAATAATGCTTATTTGTTGTCGCTTCTGACTCTTCGTAACCTCATGGACCAGCCCAAGCCAGAGCTCCCTGTCAGCCGTCGCCATCCCCAGTTCCTTCAAAGTCAATCCAGTCACTTCAAGGATACCATCCATCCATCTTGCCCTTGGTCGGCCCCTCTTCCTTTTCCCTTCCATTTTCCCCAGCATAATTGTCTTCTCTAAGCTTTCCTGTCTTCTCATGATGTGGCCAAAGTACTTCATCTTTGCCTCTAATATCTTTCCCTCCAATGAGCAGTCAGGCTTTATTTCCTGACTGGTTGCATCTTCTCGCAGTCCAAGACACTCTCAGAACTTTCCTCCAGCACCACAGTTCAAAAGCGTCTTTTCTTCTTTCACTCAGCCTTCCTTATGGCCAGCTCTCACATTCATAGATTACTATGGGGAATACCATTGTTTTAACTGTGCGGATCTTCGTTGCCAGTGTGATGTCTCTAGTCTTCACTATTTTATTGAGATTGGTTATTGGTCTCCTCCCAAGAAGTAAACGTCTTCTGATTTCCTGGCTGATGGCAACCTACCCCAGTATTCTTGCCATGAAAACTAATTATTATTATTATTATTATTATTATTATTATTATTATTATATATTTCATATTACATGTAATATTGCTAATAATATTACAGTATAGAGGTATAGTACAATATAGTAATATATAATACTAATATTGTGCTATGCTAATAATATAATGTATTGTATGTACATATAACTTGTAAGCTGCTCTGAGTCCCAGCAGGGTGTAGTGGCTTGAATGCTTCATGTACACTGTAGGGATACCTCTACACCAGGCATGGGAAAACTCCCGCCCTCCAGGTGTTTTGTTAGGAATTGTGGGAGTTGAAGTCCAAAACACCTGGAGGGCCGAAGGTTGTCCATGCCTGATCTGCACTGGAGACTTAATTCAGTTTGCATCACTTTAACTGGCATACACCCTCTCCCTCTGGAGACCAAGGTTCAAATCCTCGCCCAGTCATGGAAACTCAGTGGGTGACCCTGGGCAAGTCATACTCTTTCAGCCTCAGATCGTGCCATCACTGCTCAAGCAGGGAGCTTTGAAATGATTGAACATAAGCTCTCCGAAGCTTTATGTGTCCCTACTGCCTATTACAGCGAAAGCCTAGCTTTTTGAAACCAAAAGTATTGTCAGGTGTACATTTTTTTTTTTTTAGAAACAGACCAAAAGTCCAGTGAGTATTTGCATTGCTGAAAAAAAAAAACCACCAGTAGATCTAGGAAACAGCGCCCAAGCACCCCTCCGTGTAATCTCAATTTTCTACTCTAGAAAACTGGTTAAACCTCACAGGACAGTTTTGAATGGTGCAGAGTTGTGAGGAAAATACATACAGTTGGGGGGGGGGGTATTTAGACAGATAGCAATTGTACAAGTTCTCCCATTTAAAAAGATGAGAGAGGCCTGTAATTGACAGGCAGTCCTCAACGATGAGAGACAACATGAGAAAACACATCCAGAAAATCACATTGTCTGATTTTTTACGAATTTATTTGCAAATTATGGAGACCAGGGTTCAAATCCTCACCCGGCCATGGAAACCCAGCGGGTGACCCTGGGCAAGTCACACTCTCTCAGCCTCGGCAATCCTCTTCTGAATAAATCTTGCCAATAAAGTTTTATTCGTACCTGGCCTATGTGATAGAGTTGCCATAGGTCAGAAAAGGCACCCAACAACAATTTTGTAAGGGCCCCCATTCATTTTGAACGGGCTCTGTCTAATGTGTCGATTAATTTGTTTTTAGCCATTCAAAATCATTATAACAATTCAAACTTTTAAAACAAAATTAATGCAGAATTCATGTCATTTGAGGCCTCTTCAACTGCCATGGCTCCATGCTGTGGAATCCTAGGATTTGGAATCTGGTGCAGCAAGAAAGGTTAAAACTGCAGTGGACCATGGCAGCTGAAGTGGTATCAAATTGCATTAATTGGACAGTACAGGTAAGACTGAATTCCCTCCTTTGGGCTTACCACCATCTCAGGGCCGTGAGACTGAACCAAATAGGTACAAATATCTCAATGAATGGCTTAGACAAGAACTTAAACAACCAGTAACAGTTTATTCAAGAAAAGGCTTATCACAACAAACACGAATGCTGGCTCACTGCTTCTAGCAGTGTCACCATTTGTATCTGACTCCAAAACTTCTGGAGCCCTAAAACTACTTTCTCTTCTCTTGTTTCTCTCAGACAGAGCTGTGTCTCCCTCAGTACCATTCCACTCAACTGTCAGTAATACATTCAAAACTTCGTCAGTTAAACTGTCCTATGGGCTTTCCCCTTCACCCCGCCCTCCTCAACATTCTCTGGACTGTGATTGGCTGTTTCCTTCTGATTCTGCTGTCAGTCACAATAATCTTAGGTGATATTCCCACTATGGAAGGGTTCATAGTCTGGGTTCAAAGAGCCAAGCCTTAGCCTCCAACTGTAGGTATAAAAGAGCCATAGAAGTTGTATTCCAGGTTGAACATCCCTTATCTGGAATTCCAAAACACCCCGAAATCAAAAATTTCCCACGTGGTTGGCTAAGACAGTGACACCTTTGTTTTCTGATGATTCAGTGTACCCAAACCTTATTTCATATACAAATTTAATTTAAAAACATTGCATACCATTGTCTTCAGGCTATATGTATATGGTGCACATAAAACACATATTTCATGTTTAGACTTGGGTCTCATCTTCCAGAGATAGATAGATAGATACATTTTATATATGTACCTGTCACGTGTTGCTATGGCCCAGTCTGCTGTGTATATGTGTTTTGTGTGTGTATATATTTCTGTATATGTGTATATGTGTCTTTGCACATGCGTTGTAGAGTACTTTTTTTTTTGCTTTTAAAGTCTCTTCTGCTGTGTTTTTCAGTGTTTTTATGAGTGATGGTCACTCATTGGCCTGATAGGTGGGTTGTGTCCAAATTTGGTGTCAATTTGTCCAGTAGTTTTTGAGTAATGTCAATCCCACAAATGAATATTACATTTTTATTTATATAGATGTATGTATATACAAATCCAGATACTCCAAAATGTGAAATCCAAAATACTTCTGCTTCTAAACATTTCAGAGAAGGGATGAACAACGTGTTTAGAAGATAACAACTCTTCCTGAGAGAGAAAAATACCTACATCTTCCTCATCCCAAATCTGTTGTCTAAGTACCACGTAGAGAAAATCAATGGGAAAGTCAAGACTGGTATCATTAAGTCTAGCATTATCAGGCCAACCATTGGATTTAGGCCTATATAATCAATCTTCATTCTGACAATGGTCACTTTTTTCAGGAAGATAATGCCCACAACATTGATGGAAATGGAAATTAGTAACAAACAGAAATGCACACACACACACAAATTAAGAATTGACATGGGATTCAATTTACTAAGACTGCAGCTGTATGGTTTTACATAAAAGCCTCAAACTGTCCATAAATATGTGAAGTAGTGATGACTGCTATACTAAGAAAATTTAAATCCTGTATTCAGGTCATTTAAGAGTTGGAACCTAGCTCTGGCTTGTTTGCATTGAGAGTGCCGTGTTAACTTTCCTTGCAGGTCATAAGCAAACTGAACAACCCATGACAATACAGGTGGCAAAGAGCCCATCAGATTGTAACACGCTATTAGTTGGAAAGTTTTTAAAAGACTTGTAAATTGATAGACATCGGTGTTTGCTCTGCGAATGATTGCCATGCTCTCCTTTCTATGCAAACCGTGAATAAAGGTTTCATGTTTTTTTCCATCCTCTAATCCTGTGAGTTAATTCACTGCAGCCCACCAGGCACAAATCCACTGTTCTTTTGGGGAACAACAATTTCTGGTAACCCAGCTGGGACTTTGGGATTGCTCACTGATACTTTGCAAGTAGTGCCTGGTCTGCATTTTCTCCTGTTGTAGTTAAAGCCGCCGAGGTTGGATGTTCAAGGCATCCTAATATTATTCAAACTGCTTTCTGTCAAGATCCAAAAATGCAAGGGCATTGCCAAACTTGAGCTTATCCTGTAATATAAATTAATTAATTAATACATTTAAAGTTTTTGCAAGCTTCATTAAATATTTTGTATGTACAACAATGGCTAGAAAAAATACAATGTGAGTTTCTCCATACTTCAGCCATGTGAGTTAATTTAAATTATAACAGGCCTGCATATTTTATAAGGGATGTGTTCTGGGGACCCTTTGCCTAATATGATTTCTGTGTAAAACATAGCACCCTCAGCCCCCTTCCACACAGTTGAATAAAATCCCACATTTTCTGATTTGAACTGGAATATATGGCAGTGTGAACTCCGATAACCCAGTTCAAAGCAGACATTGTAGGATTTTCCGCCTTGATATTCCGGGTTATATGACTGTGTGGAAGGACCCTCAGATGGGTCTTCTCCTTGGCTGGTATGCTACTGAAAGCTGAAAATACAGTACTAGAATTAGTCATTAAATTTATTGGAAGAACTGTGCAGTGTGACCTTTTTATTGTGTTTTTCAAATTCAGCACGCCAAAATATATTTAAAATAGTTGGGGGAGAAAACCCTGTACAAATACCAATGGTATGTCTACAGTTATGGTGCATTTTCCTCTGTAAAGCAAATAGTTTTTGACTGGGGAAACCTAAACCAGGGAAATGGTTCAAGAGAATGGGTTAAGATGGTCTCCTTTATTGCTTTATCGCCATTTGGACTGATCTACGCTGCTGGTTGTTTCTATTATTCACATATTTTCTGTGTTGTGTGATTGCTAGCATGAGATCTTAGAACTATTAGAGATTGAGTTCACTACAAATGGTATTTCAGAGTCTGATTTATTCATGCAGTGATTCCCTATGAGACTTATCTGACAACAGGCTGTTAGTCTGCATGTGAGTTCAAAATCTAACCTGAGTCACAGTTGTAATGAGAAGTGTTTTAATAGTTGCCTTAGTATTCAATTTGAGGAGATGTTTTCAGGTAGGGCTGATTACTATCATAAATCAAAGTCCAATGAGATAATTATCACTCTGTTTGACACAAGCAGCATTTAAAGGAAAATTTTAAACAGGAGTTCAAGATTGAAACCTTTTAAAAAGGGCAATCACTGTACCTTCACTTCCTCATCAAAGTCCTCCATGGATTCAATCAGTTTCCCAGGTTCATGTTCTCCAAGTGGGAATGGATAATCAGTTCCCAATATTACCTTGTCCTGAAAATAATTTGTTAGTTACATATTTAATGCATTTCTTTACAGAAAGTATGAAATCCAAAAAGTCCATCATTTTAAATTATAAATTACATCAAATATCTAGTAAACACGCAATGAAAATGCAATTAAAATAAATATTATGGTTAGCTTACTTATAATTATTTCTAAACAGAATATTGGACTCCACTACCAAACCTAATGTCCTAATGTCACTTCAGGGCTGCCCTAAGTCGGAAGGGACTTGAAGGTTCACAACAACAATTCTATTTTTCACATATTGTTTTTACTCTTCAAGGATGGGAAGCTCCTGTTCAGATCTATTTCCAAAATACTCTGATTTTTAAATATTTTTAGAATTCTTCCTTAATTAAAGCAATAGATTGCTGGCAATATCTATATCTTCTATCTATCTATATTTATCTATATTTATATCTATCGATCTATATCTATATTCTATAAATATAATAAAAGTCAGTGTTTGTATGTGGGAATGTGGGTGTGTATGTGGCAGCTTTCTGATTGGCTCCCACTTCCACAGGCCACTGCGACCAGCACAAGTGACTGACCTGGACCAAACTTGGCACACATAACCCCCATGACCCACTTTAAGTCCTGAGGATGGGATCTCCAGTACTTTCATTTGCTTCGGCTCCCATAGACCACTGTACTGTCCACCAATGACAGATCTCGACCAAACTTGGCACACAGAGCGCCCATTATTACAGTATATGCATGTATATGACTAAGTTTCTGTAAGGATCGTCTACTGTGTGTGTGTGTTAAGGGAAAAAACACCTGGGTAATTGAAGCAATCAAGGTTAACAAGCTTGAACCACTCCCTGAATCAGGTATAACTTGGAGAGTGTTTTGTAATGGATTTTGGGACTTACTGAAACACTTGCTTCAGAACTTACACAGAGTAAGTTCCAGGCTGAGAGCCTATCATCCTTGTACCATTAGAAGAAAGAAGATGCATGAATTTAATGCTAAGGACTTTTTGTGAGTTTTTTTTTTTGCGGATGTACTGAGTTATTTCAAAGCTGGATATTTTGTGTTTTTTGAAGCTGCTTATTTGACTCTGTTACTTAAGAGTAAATTTTGATTTTCCCATTTACTTGGCTCATATTTACTCATTGTAGATGAACAAAGGGCTGGGAAGTCTGGACAGGACTGCACGCATTCTGGGTTTGCTTTTGTATAAACCCCAACGCCCATGACCCACTCTACATCCTGTTGTTGTTTGAAGGAGGATGGGCCATAGATAATGGGACTTGAAGTACCTTCACACACTTCCTGAGACCACTGCAACCCTCACCACTGATGGATCAAGGTTGAACTTGGCACACAGAACCCCCATTACCACTCTACATCCTGGTTTGGCTTGCAAGTGGATGGACCATGGATGATAGGACTTGCATATGGAAGTTGTAGTTCACCCGCACTTATTGAACCCAGCCAACAATGGATCTAGACTACACTTGCAGCACAGACAAACAACGCTTTACTCAAATAACCCTGGCACCTCTGGGTCCCCAAGCTAGTGAAATTACAAAATGGACTTTCAAGGTCAAAACTATTGCAGTTCCTATGTGTTGTTCTTAATGATCAAATGTGGCCCCAGAAGCTATCTTTTCAGCCTCGCAGTGCCCTAACTCAGTGTTTCTCAAACTGTGCTCCTCCACGTGTTTTGTACTTCAGCTCCGAGAAATCCCAGCCAGCTTACTGGCTGTTAGGAATTGTGGGAACTGAAATACAAAACATCTGTAGGAGCACAGTTTGAGAAACCCTAATCAAAGGATTTCCAAGAAGTTATTGACTGGGGTGCTGGAAAATTATATTTATAGTGCTGTCAGATTTGTGGGACAAACAGACAAACAATTTTACCTTGACCCAGTAGGTCTTTCCAGCTTCTTAGGGTGCATCTACACTATAGAATTAATGCAGTTTGACACCTCTTTAAATGCTGCAACTCAATGCTATGGCATCATAGAAATGGTAGCTTGGGAGGTACCCACAGTTTGACAGAATGTTAAAGCGCTCATAAAATTACATTAATTCTACAGTGGAAGTACTATTCTCAATTTGCTTTACAACCAGGAGAGTGCTTTAGATTTCATTTCCCACTTCCCAGACTCTTTGATCCAGGTTCTGCCAGGCTTAAAATATGTTTTTTTTAGGGGAATGGCATTGTCAGATATAATTACAATGGTGTTTATACAGGCAGTTCTCAAATTATAAACAAGATAGGTTCTGTAGGTTTGTTCTTAAGTTGAATGTGTATGTAGACTTCCCTCATTTCCTGTTGTCTCACTCCTGTTCTTAACTATGATACTTGTAACTTGGGGACTGTCTGTATTTGATGATGCAGAATGTAATTTTTTTGGCTTGTCTGACAAATATTTGTGTTGATTCATAATGTCTCCTGTAGGTGTCACTATGGGGTTTCTAAAAGCAGTGTTCTCCATACATATTCTGTATCAGAGGACCAGTTCAGCTTTTTGTAAGATACTTTATTTAAACTATGATAAGAAAACTTACGTTATAGAAGAAATGCTTTAACTTCACATCCCTTTTGTTCCTACTGTAATTATAACCCTCCATGATTCATCTCACCATTTTACAATATTTGCCAGGGCAGATAGCCAGAGTTCACAAGTCTGACACATGCAATATGGTTTCTCAATGAAAATATGTTTTAATATAATAAATGCCATTTTAGCTTAGTTCACATTCCTACTAACAAAAAAATGTCATGGAAAAGTGAACATAGGTCCTTACAACAATCCACACAAGCTTGCACATTTAATTGCTTTTGCACTTTGAGAAAGAATTACCATACATTTCTTCCATCTGTTCTGTGGCCAACCATTTAAATAATAAAAAGACAGTGATAGTCTAATTTATGATTTTGTTGAATGTTATATAACCTCTAGATGGCAACCTCCCTTTTTTCCTATTACTGTTTGCTATCAGTGGAATAACTTCTGTTTGTGGTAATTAAGAATGAAAATGATAAAGCATGGTATATAGTAACAAGTTTACAGTGTAATTCTAGAACAAACAAGAGTTTGCACAAGAGAATCATTAATATGGGAAAAAATTGTAAGAGGCTAAGACTGCATACACACTGCAGAAAATATTGCACTTTAGTCCTACATTAACTGCCATGGCTCAATATGATGGAATCCTGAGAGCTGTAGTTTTGCAAGTCCACTAGCTTTCTCTGCCAAAGTGTACTGGTGCCTCATCAAACTACAAATCCCAGGATTCCACAGCATCGAGTCATGGCAGATTAAAGTGATGTCAAACTGTATTGATTTGACCCTAAGGCTGGAATGCTGTATGTAAAATGCCAGAATGCTAAGATAACACACCAAACTGCTCTTTTTCTTCATAAAGCAATGCAGCTGAGAACTGCGTATTTGGAGAGATTGGGGTGATGCAGATATTTGAACTGGATTGGGATTGTGTAATAGCCGGTCTATTTTAACCTTTGTTTTAACCTTGGTTTTTAACTTTTGTAGTATGAAGTTTTACCTTGGCATTTTAATGATTCTAGCTTGGGGACCCGGCGCTGCCTGGGTTATTAGAGAAAGTGGGTAATGGCGGTTCTGTATGCCAAGTTTGGTCTTTATTGGTCATTGGATAACGGCTGCATTGTTTTCAGGAAGTGAGTGAAGGTACTTGAAGTCCCATCATCCATCGTCCGTCCTCCTCCAAACAGCATCGGGATGTAGAGTGGTTCATGCGGGCTCTGTGTGCCAAGTTTGGTCTTGATTGGACATTAGATGAGGGTTGCAGCAGTCTTGGGAAGGGAGTGGAGGTACTTGAAGTCCCATCATCCATGGTCTGTCCTCCTTGAAAGTGCACCAGGATGTAGAGTGGATCATGGGGACTCTGTGTGCCAAGTTTGGTCTTGATCAGTCATTGGTGAGGGTCTCAGGAAGTGAGTGAAGTGACTGCAAGTGCCATCATCCATTGCCAATTTCTTCCAAACCGCACCAGGATGTAGAGTGGGTCATGCGGGTTCTCTGAGTGAATTGTGGTCCTGATCCATCATTGTTGGCAGTTGTAATGGTCTCAGGAAGGGACTGCAGGTATTGCAAGTCCCATCATCCATGGTGCATCCTCCTCCAAACTGCACCAGGATATAGAGTGCGTCATGGAGACTCAGTGTGCCAAATTTGGTCTTTATCGGTAATTGGATGAGGGTTGCAGTGGTCTCAAGAATTGAACAAAAGTACTGCAAGTCCCATAATCCATGGTCCATCCCCGGCCAAACCACACCAGGACGTAAGGTGGGTCATGAGAGGTCTATGTGCCAAGTTTGGTCCTGATCAGTCATTGGTTGAGGTTAACAGCGGTCTCAGAATGTGAGTGTTGGTACTGCAAGTCCCATCATCCATGGTTCATCCTCCTCCAAACTGCAGTAGGATGTAGAGTGGGTCATGGGGGCTCTGTGTGCCAAATTTGGTCTGTATTGGTAATTTTCTGACACAGCCCCCTCTGGCCTTTTCCTTTTCTCTCTTTGTCATCTCGGAATCTTGGAATTGAGGCTGGCCAATCAGAGACCATATGCACATTTCCTTCTCTCATGTCTCCGTTTCTGTCATGAACCCTTTTCTTCACCAGGGGCTCCTGTAAAGCTGGCCAATCAGAGACCATATGCAAATAGCACCACAGCGGCAGCCAATCCGAATCTTGGAACTTTCAGGCTGGCCAATCAGAATGCTGGCACATACACCGCCACACCGCCACACTTTTGTCCTCCGCATACAAACTTTGACTTTTATTATATGTATAGATAGATAGATAGATAGATAGATAGATAGATAGATAAAGATAGTATATATATAAAGTATAATACTAATAATAAGATATTATAATTATATATTTTCTATTACATGTAATATTGTTACATGTAATATTTCTATTACATTATAATATCTATTACAATGTAATATTACTAATAATATGACAATATAATTGTATAGTACAATATAGTGATGTATAGTGCTGATATTGTACTGTGCTTATGGTATAATGTACTGTATGTATGTATGTATGTATGTATGTGTATGTATGTGTATATATGGTAATAGTAAGCTGCTCTGAGTCCCCTTCAGGTGAGAAGGGTGGCATATAAATAATGCAAATAAATAAATAAATATCTTTTAACTTAATCAAGTTTTAATGTATGTTAGTTCACTATTATGGGAGTCTTAGGATAGTGATTAGTGTCTATTTGTGTACTTCTTTGTTTTTGTCTTTAATGTTGATATGGTCAGTGGACTGATCAATAAACTTTGCTTGCTATATAAAAAATGCTATATTTATTAATCTGTCTAATAGTAAGACCTTTTGACCTCAGCAGGCCTTACTCCAGAGCAGAATTGCACCATACAACTCTAATAGGCTGATTTGATAATAATAATAATAATAATAATAATAATAATAATAATAATAATAATAAAACTTTATTTATACCCCGCCTCCATCTCCCCAAGGAACTCAGAGCGGCTTATATGAGGCCAAGCCCAACAACACATCAATAAACAAGAAAGCAATAAACAAAAATAATAACAATACAGTTAAATAAATCACATATAAACATTAACATCCAAGGATTTAAAAATCTATGGCCGGGCCGGATGTAATAGTTAAAAATTAAAAAATAAACGCTGGGCATGAACAAGGTAGGATAAATCTAATAGGGGGTTTTTAAAGAAGTGAGGGGAGCGCAATCCAAGTGGATAGTTAAAGTGCATTTGAGGAAATTTTGCTGGGAATTATTCCTTATTCTGGGATTTGTCATTCTGAGTATTAAAAGGGATGCTTTGTAAGTTATGACAGCTCCTCAGAATACTTCAATATGATGGTATATAGGATGTTGATGGTCTATGCATATAGAATGGAACAAACAGGATGCTAGAAAATTTGGCTGCTCTTAAGAATGATTGCTTTACAAGACTGTCAGGGAGATAAGGCATCAGTAAAAAAGCATGGAGCACAGTGGGTTCAAAGAGAATGAGTCTAACATAATTAAAAGGCTTATTTACTCTGAAGTTTGAAAGAGTAGGAAGGTACAGGGAGCCGTTCTGCTTGGAAACATGTAAAGGCTCAGACTGTGCTATGAGTTAGGACTGCCAGGTGAAAAATAAGACAGAGATCCTACACCTTTAATGGTTGTATAGAACAGTGAATTTTGGCAGGTGTTGCTTGTCATGCAGAGCCCCAGCTTTAATACAGGTTAAAGGAAGAGAAGCCTTGTTCTGTTTTTCACCTGGCAGCACTAGTATCTCTGTTCTCAAACAGCTGCCTCCCAAAACCAAGATTACAAAAGTGCCAAATTCAACATACTCCAATGAAAGGTCAAAGCTAAAAAAGACAAGGAAAGCCTGTTTGCTCTTCATGTCTTCTTCTGTGTTCACATATAATGTGGTGGTGACTTAATATTCATATCAAATGGGACCCATTCATGAGAGCAATGGAGGTGTGCCTTTTCTTTATCTCCCAACAATCTCCCTCCTATAAAAACAATTTTCCAGGCAAATATCAGGTATTAAAAATGCAAAAAGTGTTCCTTAATATTTTTTTTAAAGCCACCTGTCTTTAGATAAAGGAATTGCAAATCTTCCTTCAATATGAAACTATGAAACAATGCATGTAAAAGAAAAACCAAATCCTTTGTAAATTTAGATATTATTTAGGAAAAGGTCAGATCTTTACCGGTATATAACAAGACAATGATTCTTTTCCTTTGTGTCCTTTCTTTTCTCTTTGCATAGCAATTTCTCTAACCCCTCCACTTCTCTACCTCTCCACTAAAGTCAACATTGACAATGAAATACAACACCGCCTGAGCTCTGCGAGTGCAATATTTTTCTGAATGACATTCATAGGAAGACCAAGGTGCTTGTTTATAAAGCTATTGTCCTCCCAACTCTGCTATACGCCTGCGATAAATGGACTGTCTACAGACGTCACACTCAATTACTGGAACGATTCCAAAATATCCTGCAAATCTCTTGGGAAGACAGGCAGACAATTGTCAGCATGCTGGTAGAAGCAAAAATCACCAGCATTGAAGTGATGCTCCTATGCTATCAATTCCGCTGGACTGGCCACATTATATGAATGCCTGATCACTGTCTCCCAAAGCAGTTACTATACTCCCAACTCAAGAACGGAAAACAAAATGTTGATGGACAGGAAAAGAGATTTTAAAATGGGCTTAAAGCTAACCTTAAAAACTGTGGCATAGACACTGAGAACTGGGAAGCCCTTGTCCTTGAGTGCTCTAGCTGGAGATCAGCTGTGACCAGCAGTGCTGTGGAATTCGAAGGCACAAATGGAGAGCGAAAGGGAGAAATGTGCCAAGAGGAAGACACATCAAACCAATTCTGATTGGGATCGCCTTCTACCTGCAATGTCCTCGCAGTGGAAGAACATGTGGGCCAAGAATGACGCTTCGCAGTCACCTACATATCCACCGCCAAGACACTGCACTTGGAAGACCATCATACTCGGCCAACGAGGGATCGCCTAATTTATTTATTTTATTTATTTACTTTACTTGTATACCGCAGTTTCTCAGCCCAACAGGCGACTCAACGCGGTTAACGCCTAAGTTAAGTAAGTAAGTACCACTTCTCTATAAGCACGCCATTACTCTTGAGCTCAAACTAGACTTAGACCTGGAGGGGAAGGAGTACAAATTTTCATTATTTATTTATTTAATTTGCATGGATTGGGGAATTTTCAATGGATCCATATTCATGGCAGTTCCACAATAGGTTTTAAAAAATCAGCTTCCTCCTATGTTTCTGCTCTAGATTTTTGTTGTTGTTGTTGGGGGCGGTATTTATATCAGGAAGAGAGTTATTACTAGCACCAATGGGAGCTTTTCTTATATACCGTAAATAGCAATCATTAAATACTACAATTGCAGGGGGTCCTATCCATGTCCAGGACCATGGTGTGCTTTTTAAAAAAACATTCCCATCACTGTTTAGGCTGTGAACAATGTGTCATGTCCAATCTGAATCTTAATAGCAAGGAAGAGGGTACTTGTAGCCTAAGTATCGGTCTTTAAAAAATTTGCTTCTCCTACCTTTCCTACTACATCTGTCAAGAGCTTCAGAGCACGTGCATCATGGACGAGGGAGTCCGTGTAGAATGAACCAAGGTATTTCTTTGGATCAATTTTATTATGTACTGCACACAAGTCAGGTCGCACATTGAATCCATGAGAAATGCGCCCAAGTGTGTAAGGAAAAGAACCACCTGAAAAGAAGTGAAAATTGTGTATTTATCTTGATTTAATTAATATACCTAACAATATGGACACATTACAACATTACAAATATTTTTTATAAAGGCTGAATATCCCATATTTGAAATTTTGAAATCCAAAATAGACTGTCCACATGGGTGGCTGAGATAGTGACACTTTTGCTTTCTGGTTGTTCAGTGTACACAAACTTTATTTCATTGACAAAAAGTACCTTCAGGCTATCTGTATGAAGAATTGGGTACAATCTCTGAGAGACTCCATTATATATGTGTATATGCAAATACAGGTATTCCAMCCCCCCCCCCCCCCTCAAAATCCAAAACACTTTTGGTCCATTGTGTTTTGGATAAGGGATGTTCAACCTGTACTGGCTTGATTGATTGATTAATTGATAGCTTCATTTCCTTTAAAGAACGTGGTGCATAGAAGACACATGGTTTTCTATGCACTCCATTTTTAGTTTTACAAGTCTATGCGGTAAGAAAGCTTATGAGAGAGTGACCGGTCCAAGGTCACCTATTGAACTTTTGGCTCCATTGGGATTTTAAAATATGGGATTTTTAAAAAATGCATGTGCTTTGTCATAGAGGTCTAATTGTTACCCTTTGTTCCTTAAAGTTCTTAAGTGATTACATTTTTCACTTTTTAATTTTAAAAAAATGTCCCAAATATCTTATAAAGAATATGGGAGCTATTTCTGCCATTGTTTTTACTCCCCTCTGGGCCATATTAGCTGGGAGGGAGAGCCAAAGACTTGAAAGAAGTGTCCCTGTGTCCTTTGGTGGTTGTTTGTAAGCCTTTGTAGATAAAAAAAAAAGTTGGCTTTTTTTTTTTGCAAGATGGTACACTAGGCAGTGTGACCCTCCTAGCCCCCCTAAAGAGCCAGATATGCATGGATAACACCAATAGCCCATCCTTTCTACTGAAAGAGATACGGTTTTGGAAAGCCGCCTTAGGCACAGTTACAAGCTTTGTTTACTTACTATTATTGTTACTGGTGTAATTTTATTTTCTCATTACGCAAAAAGTTCTAAATATTTACATTTTTTGTACGGTTAAGTCACTGGCCTATGATACAAAAGACACTTACATAGTGAATCACATAAACATCATGTAAATGTGCTTACATCAGTTACAATTCCATAAAAAGCGAAGTTATGTCAGAATTGTAATGTGATCTAGTTATGTCTTGATTATTGCAAAAAAAAAAAGGAATTATTTACAAGTAACTAATGTTTGCAATGTTTCCTGTGTGGGTGGACTTAAGAACAAACACTGTAGAAATAAATCTGATATTACTACTAAAGGAAAATTAAAGGTTATTTTATAATGAATGTATAATTTGTTGCTTTGATCGTCATGTGTTATTGCCCTGTTTTAGACACATCATTTTAACTTATAGCCTTTATTTGTGAAATAATGTTTACACTACTAGGTTCTTCTCTCATTTATGTCACTGGGAAGGCGGAATTCAGAATGTAAGTCTTGAGTTAAATGGTTAAGCTTTTTACCATCAACAGTGTAGGTTTGCAGTACTTCACTAACCATAGCCTAAGGCTCATCTATACCAAGAAAGTTAGTCTGTTATAAATTTGGCCTGGGGCAGCCCCAGATCAGGCATGTATGTGCTGAAACTGGGGCCCTTGACCTGATGGCCTGGAACTACATTGGCTCCTCTCTTAGCCATGGAGCCCTGTCAGAGCCTGCCATATCTGTGGTGTTGGAATGTGGCACCGATTACATCCACAAAAAGGAGGGGAGATTGACCTTCTTCTTCATACTGGTGTTGCAAGCACTCCGTTTTCCATTAGAGCAGTGGTTCTCAACCTGTGGGTCCCCAGATGTTTTGGCCTTCAACTCCCAGAAATCCTAAAAGCTGGTAAACTGGCTGAGATTTCTGGGAGTTGTAGGCCAAAACACCTGGGGATCCACAGGTTGAGAACCACTGCACTAGGGGGCACTGTGGTGTCCAGGCATTCAGGTGGAATTCTCTGAACATCTAGGAGCGGTGATGACATCTCCTGGTGATGGCAATGCTGTTTGTCTGGATAGTTGATTGGGCCAAATCAGACCCAGTTCAGCTTGTCCAGACTGTCCAGAATTGCCTTATGCTCCAGAGTTTCAAACAAATTCCGGAGATTCTCTGACTTTGCCTGAAGTGTGTAACCCCTGTGAATCTAGAAGATTGCCAGCAGTCCATTCACAGTGAGTGTGTACAGCTATTTTTGTTAGTGTAGACAAACCTCTAGTCACCCCTTTTCAACCTGTAATGACAAGGAATGTGTAAGGGTAACAATACAAATGGGGTGTGTATGCTGTCCTGAACTTCTTAAAGAAAGATTGAAATGGAAAGGTGTTCAATAAATCAACATGGGGTTTAGAACACCCTTTTAAAAGTAAGAAGTTAAGAATTCATTTACTCAGGCCAAGATCTCTTAAAAGGATATCTACCTCTGCTTCCTACTTTATAATATAGTCTGCAGGATCTGAGGAATTAGTAACTAAATTTAGCTTTAATAAGACAATATGTAATTTATTAAAGGGTGAATTTCATAGGAGTCCATCATCATGAAGAAATAAAAAAACAGAGAAATATAATAGTTGCTTTGAATTCTTCTGGCATTATATTGTGAAATCTGAAAAAAGAAGCGTCTTTCACCTACTTTTCAGTCCTTTGCTGTCAGTATAAATGGCTCTGTGTTCCTTTTGGTTCTTTTTAGTTATGCTATTTATTCCTTCTCTCTCATCTCTTAGAATAGTTTTGTTCTCGACTGGCCTGGAATTGGCACCACTTTCTGACACTTTGCAAGCTGCTCTGATCTCACAATGGGAAAGGTAGGAAGCAGAAAAGGAAGGAAAGTATTATTGATAGTTACTCCTCCAGCCTTTGGCTTCCTGACTCTTTTTTCTCATGTATGGCAGTTTAAAATTATTCCATCTTGATCATTTTGGGTACGTGTGGATTCTAACATATGTGTTTGCAATGCAAATCAAATTTTGATAGACAATGCTACAATGATCTTGTGCCTCAACCAAAAAAAAAGTTTTTCTTTCAGAAGTAGCACTAGGAAAATATTTTCCTCTTCAGCTTTTCTCTTGATTGTGTATTTTTGGCCCCTGGTTTGACTTAGCTAACTATATGATTTTGTTTATTAGCTCTTTCAGTGTACCCTGGATTCCTGCTCTCTGCTTGTGGCACCATTTGTTCTAGAAGATTGTATAGACAATTTAATGTAATGATATCCATCTCCACCAAGAACTATGTCTCACTTAAGTGTGCAAAGGGTGCAATTCTATCTGGGAATGTCATTCATTGCCTACAGTGTGACTTGTTTCTGAATAAACGTCCATACATTGTATTTAATTTACAAAACGTGACCAAGTGCTTAAAATTCTGCTTAAAAACACTGATGCTCAGTTATACCAAAATTGCATTGGATCCGAAGTAAGTTTAAATGCCTCTAGGAACTTCAAACAGGTAAAAAATGCCTTTCTCCTACTCTTGTGACTTTTCAATGGCGTACATTGTATTTTATGCCACTGTAAATACATCTCTGTCATCCTCTTTCTGTCATATTTTAAGCATTCTGAGTCATAATACTATGTGATCCTTACCTCCATGGGCAAAACAAACTCTCAGCCTGGGGAAAACTTCAAAGACCCCTCCCATTATCATAGAACAAATAGCAATGGTTGTTTCTGAGGGCATGCCTATTAAGAAGAAATAATTTAAGATAAAATATTAATAATTTCTATTGTACAAGTTTAATTTTGTGGAGACAAAATCACATTTTTTTCTACAGAACCTGGGAAAGTTACTTTTGATTATGACAATTCCCAGAGTCCACCAGTCAGAATATCTTGTATGTTGGTATTAAATGACATAAGAATTTTCCCATCCTCACCCCACTTTGTTGGCTGTTACTTGCTGAAAAGTTTCATATGAGTATATTATATCACAGAGACATTTCTGGGCTATGTTGATCAGAGACACAGATGGGGTAGCAATGCCTTTCTGAAGTTTTTCATTTAAGCTTATCTTAGAGAAGGCACAGAAAACACTGCAAGTGACATGCCAATAATCCGAAAGAGCCACTTGTCGTACTTGTCAAACCATTTGTGAAAACATATTGTACTGGTATAGAAAATCCATGACACCTGCACATTTGATATGCTATAGCCACCATGATGAGTTGCCACCATACAGAAGTATTTCCATAGGTTCAGTATCATGGAATCATGGGAGTTGTGGTTTTACAAGGTCTTCAGTCTTCTTTGCCAAAGGGAGCTGGTGCCTCACAAGCTACAACTTTCAGGATTCCATAGCATCAATCCATAGCAGTCAAAATGGTTCAAACTGCATTCATTCTACAATGTAGGTTCTCCCTTTGTTAATTAGCAATTGGACCTATTATATCTCATATCACTTCCTTCTGAATGTTTCACTTGCAAGACATTTAAAAAATCTTCTTTCTTTGTTTCCATTTGTATTTTTTGCAGAATGCATTGAAGGGTCCTGGCTTTGAATGTCATCCTTCCCTTGCTTGGGTTTGGGATTATATGACATCACTACTAACCTACAAGCCAAGGAAACCAGTACTTAGACATTCTTCCATCGGTCTGCATATCCCAGGGATGCACAAAGAGGCAGCAGTTTAAATGTTCAGCAGCCTTAAGTTAATGAGAAAAAGAAGAAATTATTAAATATTAAATATAATATATTCCAGGCAATAAAGCTACCAATTTCAAAAAGTGAAAGCCTGCTGTTTTAATGGATAGTAAATAATGCAAGAATAATAATTATTTTGTAAATCAATAATTATTTACACAGACACCTACCATCATCTTCACAGTGGCAGGCTAGAACAATATGAACTTATGCCTGTATTTTTTTGCCTGGAGCATTTTGTAACCTCTCTGTTTTGAAGGGCTTCTCAGATGCCTCCTGATAGGAGCAGTTTGGGTTTCTGCCCATTACATCTATTTTATTATGGGATTACTTACATAGGCTAAGTGCTCAAGGAGAGGGTCTAGGAAGTTGATTAAATGGCCACATATACATATGATAGCAATGCTTAAATATTTGAAGAACTATCATATGGATGAGGGAACAAGTTTGTTTTCTGCTGCTCCAGGGACTAATCGATGTCATACCAGTTGGCAAATACTGTTGCAGGGAAGCAGTCAGAAATTGCCTCACTATGGATTAAACCACATACAGTATTACGTTAAATGTACACTATGTTGCTGAGGATCCGCTCTGTTTTTCTTTTCTTTTCCTTTCTATCAAATGTGTAGGGTCTTGACCCAAACTGAGATCAGTGCTTGTGAGTGCAAGATCCTTAAACCTTTCTGTGCCTGCTGGGTTTTGTTCAAAACTTCCCCTGTTCCCTTTTGCAAAGGTTAAAAGGCAAGGAGGGAACTTAAAATGCACACTATGCATTTAAACTTATCTGTTTATTCATTTCACTTCTTCTGGCATACCCTTATTGAATTCACAGTGCAGCTAGTGAGTATGAAGCGACACATAGATCTGAATTCAATGGGTAAACATGAACACATTTAACATGTTTGCAGTGAAATGTTAGCACGTTTCCAGATATCTTTTTGTAGAGAGCAGTGTTTGTTGTCCATCATTATATTGCTGATTTGCTATTTAACTTTACATGGGTAAGTAGAATTACAGTTCTCTAGGGACAGCTAAGGTTTTCTAGATTAATGCAAACAAAGCAGTTGTAAGATACTGTAATGGTTAGATCAGCAATACAAGTGTTACAACACAGTATACCTATATATCACAGAATAGTTCTGTTTTGTAATTTTTTAAAACATGCATGGCTGAGCTGAAATATTGGCACAGCCCAATTGCATTTCCAACAGTTACACCATTATTGTTCCTTCCAGATATTGGTGCATATTAAAATAGCTTCTTAGGGCATTTCCCATTTGTTCATCTACTATGGCTTCTCCACAGTTGGAAGCTTTCATTCACTCTATTCCTTTCTGGACCTGCCCAAATATAGGGAAGCAGATACCAAGAAGATCTAGGCAACAGCTTGAATACTCAAAAGCAGTCAATTCCAGGATGCCACATCAAGGACTAAGGACTAATATTAGTGTTGTCTGGGCCCCATAAAATGGGTAGATTGCCTTGATTGTCTTCTCATATACTGTGATTTCTTCCATACTGTATTCTAGATGGTAATCTGGAATGCTTTGGAATGAATTCTGCTTCGTAGAACTTCACTCTCACATTTGAACCTGACATAATGATGAATCTCGACCTTGGGGAGAAGAGGTGAATTCTGTATAAAATGAACTGCTTTGAAAGCCACTGTAGCATAATGTATCAGAATAGAAATAGGGAGAACTAATGCTGAATTGATCAATTGATTATTGATTATGCTAACAAGTGACAGTAGCAACAACAATACTAATACAATACATTCAGAGATGATGTTTAATAATTTATCTAAGTCTCCATGGTTTGACTCATGATAAAGATGGCCATAAAGGGTTCCAAGTCCATCAGCATCTGTATTGGAGCATTTTGGATTCCGGGTTCAGTTACAAAGGTGCCTAGAATTCTTTGACCTCTAACTAAGTTCAGCAACAACATAAATGAGTTACCATTTCCTATCCTCTTGATTTTACCTTAGAGAAAAAGGATATCTAGTTATCTGCAGATTACAGTTCTGCTACTATCATAGAGACATCCACATCACTTTTTTAGAAACAAGAGAATGTCACTCACGGCATAGACTGGAAAGAGCTCTGGGGCATTCAGGTCCCAGTCGTTCACATGAGATCCTATCTGAACACCAGGAAATCCAAGTTCATTTACACAGCGATACATTTCCTTCACAGCCAGATCTGGAGCTTGCATGGGGAGTGTGCCAAGGCCAATGAACCTCTTTGGGTACTTCATGACTGTAGCAGCTAAGTCGTTGTTTAATAATTGGCACAGGTCTAGTGTATCATGTGGTTTGGCCTGGTAAGAATAATTAAGAGAAGACTGATTTATAATGTGGTTTTTATGCTGAGAGAGGAACACAAAGGTTGGATGCAAACACAATACAATACCATGCAAACAAGTGCATAGACAAGAGTACAAAACCTATTGAAAGAACGGTCCATTTAAGCCCCCACCCTGTGGAACAATGCAGCTCTTATATTTTGAAACACCAGGAGTGATCTCTGATATGTAACACCAAATTCTAATTTTTTTTCTGGCTACCAAAATTTGAGCACAGGATTGCTTCTGTTAATCTTTTCTGCCTTTAGAAGCACCTTGCTTAAGCCTCATTGTGACTAGTGAGTTTTTGTCTAGTGTTAGACAAACAATTCTGGCTTTATTGAAATATGGGGACTATCAAAATGAATAGCTGCACAAACATCCTATTATGGATGCTAACTAGAATGGGCCCTACTTAATAAATGAAAGTTGGATAAGTGTTGGCTTCCAATTTCCCATTGATTCAATGGGACTACTCTAATAGCTACTAACAGCCAGACTGAAGCCAATAAATTCTTCTGTGATATACCTAAGAATCATGTCCCTAGATCCTATGCATCCTTACTTCTACACAGATCATTTTAGCTTCAGTCATCATATAATGTATTTGAATGGATAAAAGTAAAAATCTATTTTCTTACTAAGTACAACACATGTTAAAGTAAGGTGGCTGAATAGTTTTCAGAACAAATTACAAACCATGAAATATTGCAATAGGAGGGAGTACAAGAATGTATGAATATTGGTGACTTACATAATTTTAATATGTAACTTTTTGTAAGTATATTATTTATACACAACAATCTAATACTAGGTTGTTGTAGGTTTTTCCGGGCTATATGGCCATGTTCTGGAGGCAATTTTTCTCCTGACGTTTCGCCTGCATCTATGGCAAGCATCCTCAGAGTTAGTGAGGTCTGTTGGAAGTAGGAAACATGGGTTTATATATCTGTGGAATGACCAAGGTGAAACAAAGGACTTTTGTCTGCTGGGGCTAGATGTGAATGTGAATCCAATACTACTCCAGGAATCAATCATACTATGCAAGAAAATGACCATTTTTTTAAAAAAAAAATCTAGGGTATCAAGTCTGTGTAGCATTTGATAGCCTGTTGAGAACATTAAATATGAATTTAAACCTATTGCCAGAATATTTGTGGTTCTAAAAATAATGTCTTCTTTTTGGATTCCTCTGCCCCTGAACGATAATGCAGATGTTTCCTTAGAGAGGGCCTTCTATACATCAGATAGCAAACTTATGTCCCCTTTAGGTGTTACGCCACAGTCTTGTGTTAGGTCACTTAAATACAAGTTAAGCACATTTAAATGCCAAACTGCAGCCTAGCTCGAATCTGAAATATTTTCTCTTAATTGCTATTTCATAATTTGATGGAAAATGTTCACAATCTTGCAGCTGACAATCAAGACTTTACATACTTGGCATGATGTCAATGGTGAAGTGGCCCCAATCATACCATTTTTGTACTTTCTCAATGCTGTGAAGATCCAGTTTTAGTTTGATCCATTCTATCCAAGGGAAATCATGCTTTGTTATTTTAGTTTAGAGATATATGGTATATCCCTAAATTAAATACCTTGCTGTTGTTAATTGTGGTCAAGTTGACTTTGACTTACTGTGACCCTGTGAATATCCTCAGCAACCCTGCTCTGGTCTTACATGTGCTGTGCTTGATTTCGGCAGTATATTTTTCTAAATTGACTTACCCAATAGCTAAACATGACAGGAACTGTGGAAAGGACTTGGGCAGTGACTCCTGTGGAACAGAATGTGTATAAGTGATTAAGAATATGCAGCTGTTTTCTTGAATCATCTCATATATTAAGTGCCCATCTTACAATACTATCTTTCAAAACTAATATAATAAGTAAGAGTGAAATTGTTGTGTATTCATTCAGTCGCTTCCAACTCTTCATGACCTCATGGACCAGCCCATGCCAGAGCTTCCCCTCAGACGTCGTCACGTCCAGCTCCTTCAAGGTCAAGCCAGTCACTTCAAGGATACCATCCATCCATCTTGCCCTTGGTCAACTTCACTTCCTTGGAGTGAAATTGCTTAAATATAATACCATTGGCATGTGACTGCATTGGAAATCTATTTTAAAGGGGCAATTAAAGAGGCATTTGGACAGAGATTCTTCAGATTGCACACCACTCTTATCAACCTGAAGCATTTCCTTAAAATGTGCAATGCAGCGAGTCACACAAGTTACAATCTTCTAACTACACCTTCCAAACATGGAGACAAATTTTTTAAAAACATAATATATTAAACTCTGAATTATGGATCAGCTATGCCACTGGCTCATAGGCTGGTGAATGTGACTGATCAGAGAGAGCCTTGATTTACGGTACTGTGTGCTGGAACATTGGACAAATTTTCCCACATATACATCAATACAGACCACTTCAGGAAAACATCTATGGAACACTGTATCTGCTGAAACATAATGCTGCCAGAATAGCCAAGAATACTTCAAATTGGTGATGTTTCCACTGAAAATAATGAGCATAATATTCAAGATACTTGTTTCTCAGTCTGGTATATTTCAGATGTTTTGAACTTTCATTCCCATCAGCACCAGCCAATTATCTGACATGGTGAGAGCTGTTGTTCAAAACATAGTTGAATCCACACTTTCTGGTTCACAACCTTCCTCATTTTTTATCATTTCAGAGCCTTACAATGCTTTCTGACATGAGTCCCCAATTTAAAAATGAAGATCACCTATAGCCAGTTTGTATAATAGAAGCAGGCAACAATCCCTCCAGTCACCAAAATTCCTAAAATTTATGGTCACTCCATGAACATGTCCACCAACATTTTAATAGCAATAATAATAATAATAATAATAATAATAATAATAATAATAATAATAATAATAGAAGAGCACTAATGCATCAGCATTTAGCCTGATGTTTCCAAGCTCTGATTTCATTATGACCTATTATGGATTACCCCAAGACTTCAAAGGAGTCAGCAGCTTGAAGAATATGTCCTTATGTTTCTAAGCAATTATCTGGTCTTGGGCTGAACTTGAACAATTTTGTTTTGTTTTGAGAAACAAAAATAATGAATAACTTTGAAAAGCAACCTAACACCAGTGACTTGGTTTTGAAGAGCAGTCAAACCGTTCTCCCAACACTTCCACTGGTAGATTTCTTTGCAAAAACATTTGTGACCAGATTGCTTACAAAAATAAAATCTCCACAATTACAATGTGAATGCTTTTCTGTCTCTCTACCCCATTAATGCTCTGAGATCCATTAAAAGTATTGAGATCATCCTGGTTTCATTCAAATTAATCCCTTTTATGTAATAAACTTAGTTTATTGTGGGTGTTTTACTGTAGGTTATGTGGGTGGAGTGGTAAAGTGAGCAATGAAAATCTCTCAAGTTGTGACTGTGACCCAAATCCTAGCCACATTTTCCCTCATTTGTAAGCTTTTTTTGTTACATCATGGCTGCACTGCGGCTTTACAAAATCTGAAACAAATAGAGAAGGAAGGTAGAGACATAAGAACAAATCTTTAAAAGCTTTGTTCTTTAAAAATATTTTAAAGATGCAGCTTTTCTCCCTGTGTTATTACTTAAACTATAAAACTGTTTTGCACTTCTATATTAGATCATTATGGTTAAGAGCATGTATGGTTGCTGAGGATTTTATCACAAGACAGGTTTGTTGCACAATGGTGCCAGCTTACTTCCATGTTTGATCTTTCATTACCACACAACTTTGTGACTCTCCTGTTGTTATATTGCCTTGCCATCATTATTCGGTTGCATATTTTTATTGATGGGAAAACCTGTTAACGCCTCTAATGTTGCTACTCTTTGACTATTATTTTTGGTGCAATCATTTCATTCTAGATGTTTTGATCTGTGTCTCATAACCCTTTATTCAAAATTCCCTGGATGCCTTTTCTAGTACCTAAAAAGGAGAAACTGTGCCTCTTGGAAGCTGTCAAGAGTACCAATTCACATTTTAAGCAGAGCACTGTTTAACATTTTTTAAAAACCCAATCATTTTCAAAACCAGATGTACAAAATAAATATTTTTGCAAATTCTGTATAATGTTCTGTTTTTTCAACTACATGCATACTGGTGATACCTGACTTGTCCATCTGTTTTATTCGAACCTCTGGATCCCAGCAGTTGTCTTGGATAACTCTGAAAACCTTCCCATCTTTCATCATCTTTGCTTCCTCCTGTAAAAAGGTAAACAGTCATGAGTTCAAAGCTTGTCTCTTTTAAACAGAGGAATATTTTTGTTATTTTCTATTTATTTTTAAAAAAATATTTGGCATTTTTAGACTTTTTGTTCATATTGTCTTTGTTGTGTGGGAGCCAAGTGCATAAAGTAAAGCCAGAAGCCTGGAGTTGTATCTACACTGTGATTCATTCAGAACATGTTTCAACATTCTTCCAATGTCTGTGGCTGGCTCACTTAGCCTGATCCTAGAATGATTGTATGATCAGGCAATCATAGAATCATAGAGTTGGAAGAGACCATAAGGGCCATCTATCCCTACCTCATTCAGCCATGCAGGAACACACAATCAAAACACTCCCATTCCGTCTCTCTTTAAAAACCTCCAAAGAAAGGGACTCCACCACAATCTGAGGCAGCATATCCTACTGTTGATCAGCTCTAACCATCAGGATTTTTTCTTCTTCTAACATTTAGGTGGTCTGTCTTTTCCTGTAGATTGAATCCATTGTTTCGTGTCTCTGGTGCAGTAGAAAACAAACTAGCTCCCTCTTCAATATGACACCTTTTCAAATGTTTAAACATGGCTATCATACCTCTCAACCTTAAACATAGAGAGCTATTTTACCATTTTGGTCACCTTTCTCAAAACACATTCCAGTTAGCTAATATGTTTCCTACACTGATGGCCAGAACTTAACAGTATTCCAGGTGAGGTCTGACCCAAGCAGAATAATTTACAACTGCCATGGCAGGAGGGGCTATCTAAAGTATACCTAAAATATCAGGTTGGAAAATGGTAGCCTACAAAAGCATTTCTCAACCTGGAAGTCGGGACCCCAGGAGGGGGAGGGTCAAGAGGGGGTGTCGGAGCAGTCACCAAAGACCATCAAAAACACAGTATTTTCTGTTGGTCATGGCGGTTCTGTGTAGGAAGTTTGGCCCAATTCTATCATTGGTGAGGTTCAGAATGTTCTTTGATTGTAAGTTAACTATAAATCCCAGCAACTACAACTCCCAAATGGCAAGCCTATTGTTCCCAAACTCCACCAGTGTTCACATTTGGGCATACTGAGTATTCGTGCCAAGTTTGGTCCAGATCCATCATTGTTTGAGTCCACAGTGCTCTCTGGATGTAGATGAACTACAACTCCAAAACTCAAGGTCAATGCGCACCAAGCCCTTCCAGTATTTTCTGTTGGTCATGGGAGTTCTGTGTGCCCACTTTGGTTTAATTCCATCATTGGTGAAGTTCAGAATGCTGTTTGATTTGAGGTGAACTATAAATCCCAGCAACTACAACTCCCAAATGACAAAATCAACCCCCCTCCCAATCCAACCTGTATTTAAATTTGGGCATATTGGGTTTTTGTGCCAAATTTGGTGCAGTGAACGAAAATACATCCTGCCTATCAGATAGTTACATTATGATTCATAACAGTAGCAAAATTACAGTTATGAAGTAGCAATGAAAATAATTTTAGTTGTGGAAATGTATTAAGGGTTGCGGCATTAGGAACCACTGGTCTACAGTCTCCTTTCCCAAGTGGTTGTAAGATGTCTCTGATTTTACAATGCCAGTGCATGGGAGAAAAAGTTTTATGGATTCATAGATGTGAATTCCTACACGAGGATTTGATAGCCCTTGGGGTATTTTCCTCTATTGTGACTTTAGGAAATCTTAACCAAGAAGAGAAAGCTTGGTTAGAATTTCATAAACTTGATCAAAAGCTTGTGCAAATGGATTAAAGTTCTACTTTGTTGGTATTGATTTTTGTCATTAAAAAATAATGAGCCTTCTCTTGGCTGAGATGAAAACTTGAACAAAAGAGGAGATATTTTTCAGATACAAAACTCAGAGTAAGAACTTTCCAGGGTGAAGTGTATTTACTCACTGTTGAATAACCAGACCCAGTCTATTCTGGACTGTAGCTTGGAACTTTGTACAGTTTACTGTGGGCTTCATCTGAAGACCTTCATCTGAAGATTACATAGTAGTTTACAACAATCAAAACAGTGAATGCAGTTGCTTCTAAATGTTTGATTTTTTTGCTTTGGTTGTGTTTTGCTATTGTTTGTGTTTTGTTCTTTTTTATTCTAGTTGTTGCATTCTGTATTTTCCCCCCTTGGGTTATTTTCAAAGGGATCCCCATCTATGGTCTGCTGCAAAAATCTAAATGAGAGATTATCAGGTTTTTAGACAGAAATTCTTAGTTTGAGTTGGGTGATTATTATAGTTTAATAAAAAATGTCCTTGTAAATGCATTATTAAGTAGGATTTTCTTCCACCAGGAAATCAATGTGCAGGCAGGCAGTACAAACACAGCCTGATGAGATCAAGAGAGGTTGGAGACCAGAGGGAGGCCTGAAGTAGCTGAACTTTAACTTTAGCAGAATATTAAAAACTGGAACTAAATTATTTTTCTCGAGACTGTCATTGAAGGTGCTCATGAATTTATGTGCAATTGTTATTTGATACTGAAAAGGCCTGGACCATGTTTTGGAACAGGTGATTTTAATGTTTATATTAACATGTTTTCAATCTCGTGGTATAATGTTTAAATTATAATAGGAGCCCTCGGTGGTTCAGTGGGTTAAACCCTTGTGCTGGCAGGACTGAAGACCTACAGGTCGCAGGTTTGAATCCAGGGAGAGTGCGGATGAGCACCCTCTATCAGCTCCAGCTCCCCATAAGGGGACTTGAAAGAAGCCTCCCACATGGATGGTAAAAACATCAAAACATCCACGCATCCCCTGGTCAATGTCCTTGCAGACGGCCAATTCTCTCACACCAGAAGTGACTTGCAGTTTCTCAAGTTGCTCCTGACTTATGACTTAATTGATAGTTTTATGTTACAGTGGTTTTATGTTAGGTTTTCATGTTTTGTAAGTGAATAGGTTGGAAACCTCTTTGAGCCCCCCCCCCCCCCCCCCCCGTGGTGAGAAAAGCAGTATATAAATGAAGCAAATAAATAAATTCTAGTATCCATAATAAGTCAACAACAACAACAATTCTTTATTGATTAGTCAATTTTGACCATATCAAAACATGCAAAACATACAAAACATACACATACAGTAAAACCACATATGAACACAAGGCATCATGGCCTACTGGCCTGTCGACCCACTCCCAAATAATTGAGCAACTACAAGACAAAGAGGCTAAAAGATTAAAACTTGATTAATTCCTTAAAATAGGGTTAGGGTGGGGGGCATGGGTAGGTAAAACTAGTGGCGTGTCCATATTAAGTTTTTAAGTTTGAGTTTTGTTGATGGCAGTAAGGTCGCCTCTCTCTGCTTCCATCTTCTCACGGATGGCCAGCGCTTTTTGGGTAAAAAGGGTCAATTTTAAAATAGAGTTTTTATCTGAACCCTGAAGAAGGATGCGCAATTTCTCCTTATTTTCTGAATAAGTATGGTTCTCCAGCAGAGGCTCTAGGTAGTAAGACCGGATCCTGTTGTAGTAGGGACATTTTAAGAAAAAATGTTCTGAGTCCTCCACTTCTGCATCTACCTCACGGCACCCACAGGTTCTCATCGTGTAGGGGATATTCTGATGTCGTCCCAACTTGGACTTAATGTCGAGCTGCTCAAATCTAGCCCGGGTAAAAACTTTTCTAAGATAGAGTGGAAGTATAAAAGAGAGGTAAGGTTCCATGCCCACATTACATTTAAATTTGGCCAGGTATGGAGTGGCTCTAGCTTGCGCTATGTTCATTAGATCATTTTGTGCAGCAATGTCGAGAGCTCTTTGGTATACAATTGAGCATACATTTGCCCCAAAATTTGTTAACTCGTGGGGGGCGAAACCTAACCTGCTAACTGTGTGGCCAAATCTGCTAAGCCAAGATGACCACTCTTTGTGGTTTTCTTGTTCTAGAAGGCATAGGGCTGGGAGTCTGTGTGGTTGCATTTGTCTTATTTTGTACCACCAATTGATCTGCCTCTTCAGAATTGTGGTGGAGATTGGGGGTACTCCTGTCTCTGCTCTCACTGCAGCTGACAGGGATGATCTCTCCACACCTAAGCCAATTTTCAGGTGGCGCAGTTGGAATCTCTCTACCAGTAAAGGGTCTTGCTCACCCCATATTTCAGCTCCATACAAAGCGATGGGGAACACCTTTGCCTTAAGAACCTTCAGAAAGGGGCGCAGAGAGCCCGGGTAATTGTGGTTGCATAATTTATGAATTGCCTGTGCAGCATTATCAGCTTTTGCAATACTTAATTTTAGATGTTGGGTCCATGCCCCTGATGCCGCAAAATGAAGACCTAAGTATTTAAATGTCCTCACTTGCTCCACTTTGTGCCCGTCAAGGTGCCAGTTGGAAGCCTTAGCTTTCTTACCAAAAACCATTATTTTGGATTTTTCTTTATTTATAATGAGGGCATTTTCAGTACAATATTGGCTAAGTTTTTGCAGGGACCTCCTTAACCCGACTGGGGTAGTGGATAACAATACTATGTCATCTGCGTATATCAAAATATTTGTGTCCCTATCCATAATCTTTGGACTGTGACATTCTTTCATATTCAAATATTCCAGAATATTTGAATAATAAGTCAATATGAAGTAACAACAAATCTAGATGTGAGATTGAAGCTATAGTTTTGTGAGGCATCAGCACTTTTTGGCAGAGAAGGCTAAAGATCTTATAAAATAACAACTCCCATGATTCCATAGCATTGAGCCAAATAACAACTCCCATGATTCCATAGCATTGAGCCATGATAGTTAAAATGATGTCAAACTGTATTAATTCCAAAGTGTAGATGCACCCAAGAGTTCAAGTCCCCATTCAGCCATTAAAGCTTACTAGTTAACCCTGGACAAGCCAAACACTCTTAATCCCAGAAAACCCTGTAATTGTTTTGCCTTAGGGTCACCATAAATCAGAAATGTTGTTAATATAAATATATAATATTAATGTAAATTCATTTCATTCAGAGAGAGTTTTGATGTACCTTTAAAGACACTCACAGTCCTCCTGTGGCTTCAGCACAGCCCTTTATTTTGGTCTGAGAGCCATCACCATGATTATGTGCTCTCTATATAGGTTTATTTCTAAAATAAAAACATTCACTTTCCAGACATGGCAATTGAGCTACATACATTTTTTTATTTGCACCAGAAGACTTTCTTCATGCCCCTTTGCACTATATTTTGCTCTATGGTGGTGCTTTAAAATCCGTAATGAAATCAAAGAAAGGTCAGAAGTAACCTTGAATATGTGGTTAGTCTGATGCATTATTTATAAGTGATGAATATTTGAAAGCCTCAATCCCCAGCCCACCCCCTAAGTGTGACTGTGTTTTGGACAGCTCTCAGAATGACTTGGCAGCCGGGTCACAATTCAAGAAAATATCACAGGCTATAATTACAGAGTTACCATCTGATTCCTTTGGCAAATGCCTCCCAAGAATGGATTTATCCCAAACTCCAGGAGGAGAGGCCTTAACCATTCATTCCTACAGAGTATACATTATGAACACGAGCCCAATGTTGATTATTGCACACCGAGCCATTGAGGAGGGATCGGAAGGACGTGACGGAATCGAGAAAATCCTATTTAAATATAAATGGTTGGGGATATTTTGGTAGGCACAGCATGGTTCTTTTTTTCCTGACAGATTGGTTTATGGAATCATTGCAGCGCAGAAAAGCCAAGCTAGAAAAGCTGTAATTTCTCTAAGGGATCTCTTGAAACCCACATAAACAAATGCAGAGTGTAGCTAGTTAAATAATAGCCTTTCTAATGGCCTCGAGGCTTGCGTTGTGAAATGGAGTCTCCAATGAGCAATGTCCTAATTAAAGAATGGTGGTTCCCCCCACTCCATCTGCATTAATGACATGCAGACCATGAAAGCCCTATAAAGAGCGCACAAGCAAACCTGCTTAGATCCATTTGCCAGCCAGAGGCAGACCGTCACTCTTTGCAGAAGGTGTGGGCTGACGTTCCATATTTATACTGTCATCATGGGTTCCAAATGCTCAGGGGACAGAGATTGTTTAAAAGACACACACACACGGATTTATTTGCCAGATCTGTAGTTAAAGTCAATTTGGGGCAGAGTCTCTGAGGCTCTACTGTAATTACTAGGCACATGGACCCAGAGAAAATTAGTTTTCCATTGCAAGCTATGACTGCCACACTGAACTCTTCATAAAAGTTAATTTAAGGCTTTCCATCTTGAGGCTAAATCAATTTACTTTCTAACGCAAACAGCGGTCCGTAGTGCAGCACGTTCCAACACTAATGGACCTTCGCTTTCATAAATCCTGGCAGAAAATAAGAAAAGGAAGCTTTGGTGTCAGATTATGTGAAAATGAACTCCATAGTATGCTTTGTTTTTTTTTAAGGAAACATATATTTCAAGATAATAATCTTTGACACAGTCAAGCCACACTGGATTTGTTTATCCATCACTTCTCCATTTTAATATTATGTGGCAAGAACTGGTATATACTACTGTGGGAGGAAATCTCTTGAGGTGATAAAATGTAGATCTCACCATGCAACTGTGCATTTAGATGAAGTAACTGTATAAATTAAATCCATAAAGCATCTAATAGTGACCAAGTGTTGTATATAAGTACCCACAACTACAGTATTTATTTATTTATTTATTTACAGTATTTATATCCCGCAGGGAACTCAGGGAACAAAGTAAATATACATGGCAAACATTCAATGCCATAGACACACAACATATATAGACAGACACAGAGGCAATTTAACATTCCATCTTTTGTCTTGAGGGTATTTTGACCACCAGGAGAACTGTCCCTCCACCGACCATTTGTGACACTGAAGTACTTCCTCATTCTTTGCATGCTTGCTGGAGATTTTTATGGCCTCGTAAATTAGTTAAATTAGCCTCCCCGCATAAGCAGTACCTAAATTTCCTACTTGACAGAAGCAACTGTCTTTCGGGCTGCAAAGGTCGACAGCAAGCTACACAAATTGGTTGGAAGTTCACTCTGACCCGGGCTGGCTTCGAATTCATGACCTTTTGGTCAGTAGTGATCTTAATGCAGCGGACTTGCAGCCAGCTGCGCCACAGTCCCATTATATATAAATAGGGTTGCTCTCTTTATAATATGAGAGGTAAGGAGCAACAGTAGGAGCAACTAGAGTAGAATCCCAATTTTTTCCAGCTCATGCTTTATTGCACTGATTAATGCAGTCGTCTACTGTACTCTAATACTGAAACCTACATTTTTGAGCTTTCCTTCAGCCTTCAGTTGCATGCATAACAGCTTTTTTGCTTGGTTTTATTCAACCAAGAATGATTCTCTACTTATCCGCTGTTTTCAAAAAGAGGCATGACTTCTTTTGTATTTAATTATCCAAAGCTTCCTCAACCTTTTATGTGATGGGTTTGATTATGTCTCCCTATTCTTAACTCAACATTGAAGTTGCTATGAATTTTCAAACACATTGTCTGTGGCTGCTTTTGGCACTTTCACCCCTTTTCTTCTATAATCAGCCCGGCATCATCATCATTCTGTTCCCCACACCACTTAGAGTCTTTGTTGTGTGCCTTCAAGTCATTTCCAATTTATGGCTACCCGAAGATGATCCTATCATTGTGTTTTCTTGGTCAGATTTGCTCAATAGGATTTCTCAAGTGCCTTCCTTAGAAGCTGAAAAAGTTTGACTTGCCAATGGTTGGCCAATAGATTTCCATAGATAAACTAGTCCAACATTCAACCAATACACCAGTGATTCTCAGCCTTCCTAATGCCGCTACCCCTTAATACAGTTCCTCATGTTGTGGTGACCCCCAACAATAAAATTATTTTTGTTGTTACTTTCATAACTGTAATGTTGCTACTGTTATGAATCATAATGTAAATATCTGATATGCAGGAGGCATTTTCATTCACTGCACCAAATTTGGCACAACTTTGAATACTGGTGGGGTTGGGGGGGTTGGTTTTGTCATTTGGGAGTTGTAGCTGATGGAATTTATAGTTCACCTACAAACAAAGAGTATTCAGAACTCCACCAATGATGGAATTGAACCAAACTTGGCACACAGAACTCCCATGACCAACAGAAAATATTGGAAGGGTTTGGTGCACATTGACCTTGAGTTTTGGAGTTGTAGTTCACCTACATCCAGAGAGCACTGTTGACTCAGACAATGATGGATCTGGACCAAACTTGGCATGAATACTCAATATGCCCAAATGTGAACACTGGTGGTGCTTAGGAGAAACAGGCTTGACATTTGGGAATTGTAGTTGCTGGGATTTATAGTTAACCTGCAATCAAAGAGCATTCTGAACCTCACCAATGATAGAATTGGGCCAAACTTCCCACAAAGAACCCTATGACCAATAGAAAATACTGTGTTTTCTGATGGTCTTTGGCAACCCTTTTAACGCTCCCTCACAACCCCGCCCCCCAGGAGTCCCGAACCCCTGGGTTGAGGAACATTGCACTACACCACGCTGGCTCTCACCCCTTCCATGGGTATGTGGATCTCTCTCTCTCCAGGTCACCCATCAACTTATGGTGACCGCATGATCTTCATGGGCTTTTTGTAGGCAAGGAATACCCAAATGTGGTTTTGCCAGTTGCTTCCTCTGAAAGACAGACTTCAGCTAAATGTCTACCTAGCTCATTAATTTTCACCTCCACTTTGTTGAGAGAAATAGTTTTCATATCAGAGCATTATTTTCTTGATTTGAAGTTTCTGATAAAATGTAGTTTATCTGAAATTGCAATCCTCACTTGGTGACCCCTTTCCCTGTCTTTTCTTTTCCTTTTTAGAAAAAAATCACAGACAAATATAAATCTAGGTCATCTGTTAGGTCATGTTCAAAGTGCATTATTCTACTGTAAAGACAGCAAATGTGAGATGCGATTCTTGAATTTATCAAAAGTTGCTCTTATCAACTAAGCTTTGGGCGGTGGTTGTTATGGAGACCTGTACAGTAGTGATTCGGGCAAAGATTCAGAGGATAGAAGTCAGTGGAGCAAGATTTTCAGAGATTTATAGAGTTTGGAGGTAGTGGAAGTATTGATTTCATTCAAAAATGTACTTTATTTCTTTTTTCCTCCTGGAGATTAATTCCCAAGTGAAGCCAAAAAAGGACATTAATAACTTTCTTCTCTTCATGGCATCCTTGCGTTATGAATTAATTAGCTAATTTTCCTTCTATGTTCTTTATATTTCACCTATGAAATGTGTGCCCCACTCCACATTATTTAAGCTGTATTTACTCCTTATTGGCTCCGCTTAAATGCTGTATGAAGCACTAATTATGTACTATTGAGAGGCAGAAATGAGGCAATAAAGTAGTTTATTTGAGAGCATTTCAAATCATGGATTGGCAATTGATAAACTGGGATCAGGGCCTGGATCTTCATTGTACATTTTGTAAAGGAGCAACTCATATTTCTGAAATCTGGAAGTCTATTTAAGCAAAAGTACCGTATTTCATAAAAGTCACACAAAATGCAAGCCATGTCCCACCATCACACAACCAATCCCCTTAAATAAATGATATAAATTACTTGTATTAATAGCAGTGGAAACAAAATTAGGTTTCTCATTTCTGCAATATTTCAGAAATTTATTGCGATTTAACGCTGAGATAGAGAAAAATGTTTTAGTACATATCCTCCAAGGCCTTCCATGATTCAGAGGCCAACAGAAGACAAGGTTATCCCTCTTGATATCAGTGAATTCTTAGTCAAAGCATTTGGTAAAGCTTTTCTTTCAGATTTTTTGCTTTTCCATTCTTTATAAGTCATATTGAGCATAGATGTGGTTTACCTTATTGTGTTGCTCCAGCTGGATCCATCCTCCATAGCCGTATCTCTACAAAGAAAAGGATACATACTATAGTTAATTAAACATCAATGGAAACAGGAATTAAGGTGACCATGTGAAGAGCTAGATTGACTTGAGAAAAATGTAAGAGAGGTTCTACACAGACACTGTAATGCTGTTCAAAGCTGGCTTGGGGACAGTCCACAAAATGTACATCCTCAATCCATGTTAAACCCAAAACAGTGTGTAAAAAATTCACCAGAAAGTCTGGAATAAGCCAGATAACATCCCATGCAGGGCTTAAAATTGGGATGGAAAAATGCAGAGTGCTTGTCACACTTTAAAAAACTCCAAAGCACAGCTGGCCAGAAGGTAAATAACCTCATTCATATGAGAACTCTTGCTTTCTGCCCCTTTGTACTCATTTCTTGTGCCCTGCCATAGTCCAGCACTGATCACCAATGGACATATCAATACATCTCATGTTTTTTTACCTATCTCAACAGTCTGGGTAAATAAAAACAGAACAAAACATTTGTGGGTTTATTTACCATACCCAGTCAGTGGACACTGACCATCCCAGCCTTGAACCGATTCCCTTGGTGTTTGTGTGGGCACTTTGCAGTGGAACTAGTTCAGTGTAATCCACTTCTTAACTGCATAGTACCACTCTGAGACTGTCAGTTCAGGAACAACTCTGTGACGGCTAGAAATTGCTCTAAAATGTAATGGTCAGGTTCAAATAAGTAACCTCTTTTTATTTATAAACCTTCCGATACATTGAAACCAAACCAATGTCTCTTCTGTATTTCGAAACCTAATATTTTGTTTATTGGTTGAATCTAGCCAAGCCTGCATCATAGAACTAAGAAGTTATTTATTTATTTATTGTGTCAGGGGCACACCAAACAGTTGCATTGCATTTTTTAACAAACAAACAAACAAAACTAAGAAGCTGAACTCAATATACACAGGTCTTCAGAGAACAGGTGCTGACCCTGTTCCCCCTTCAAATTTGGCGCCACACATTTTAGCCAGTCTGGTCTGTTGAGATACCAAAATGCATTTTGTAATGTTTTTTTTTCATTTTCAGTCCATCAAAATCCCAACATTTCCAAAGGGCAGGACAGTTCCATATAAAAATACACCTACTGGATTGGCTTCTGCAGAATCATTCTCACATCTATTCCAACCTGAAATTGTTGTTAGCACAATAAAGCATAATTATCGTCACCACTACCACCACCACCACCATCACCATCATCTCATGGATGGCATCCTGAACAAGATATCTGCTTTCAAATTAGATGAAATCATGCTAGCTGAGAATTCTGGTAGTTAGAAAGTAATTTCTCTAAGCACTGCATTTGATTGGAGCAATTTTGGGGCAACAGATAAATTCTGCTGCCACAATAACCCAGGGTAGCAAAACTGGCCTACATTTACCCTCATACAGAATATTTGCCATAGCACCAGAACTGCTGCAAAAGAATGGGGTATGTTGGTTTTTGTTACTTTTTAAGTTAACACGTATTTCTTAAGATTTACTGTGGTTTCTACTAGAACAAAATGTTACCAGCACAATCCTATGCTTTCAGGTTTTTGGCTGCAAAGTCTGAGGCAATAGCTCTAAAGCAGAACTGAACTGAATGACAAGCCTTCATTAAGTAAACGTGTTGTTATATGGTTTCACAGTCTACCAAGTGTTATCAACTAGATTTGGATTCTGCCTAAGAATCTAGGAATCTGTGAGATATTGTTGGCTAATTGGGCATGTTTTATTATTAAAATTATTTTTATTACACACAGTTTTCTGCTGAGCTATAATTAGTTAATCATTAGTGTAGATGTCTATTGATTCGTTTTTGCAGCCTCTATGATTGAGCACCAGGGCTGAAGGTCACGTTCTCCTATTAATATTTAAAGAGAATAGAAAGACTTTGAATACACAACTGAAATTTCCATTAATTATCCCAGAGAGTTTTAAAACGCTTCTAATGAGATATGAAATTCACAGAAGGGATAAGTACAACTTTCTTTTACTTCAAATATTCTTGAGTTTGAAATATATCTCATAATGATAGCTAATGAAATACCTTGAATTGCACATGCATTAACACATAGTAAAGGTAAAAGTTGTCCCTGACTTAAGTCCAGTCGTATCCGACTCTGGGAGTTGGTGCTCATCTCCGTTTCTAAGCCGAAGAGCCGGCATACACAGCTGCCAATCAGCACAAATAATCTGGTACAAATCTAGTTGTGTACATTTTCTGTTTATGTCAATCTGAATTATTTGAACTGATTTTTGCCAAAGTGATGTGTTTCTGTACTGATCGAAGTTAATATTTAAGATTGGATCACTGTGTTTTGAAATATTACTCTTGCAAAATAGTTACATAACGTATTGTTACTACTACTCAGTGAAATAATACATTTCCATGATTTCATGTGCAAGTCTAATTTTTGTTGAAAAAAAGCAGAGATTGATTATGAAGTTCTAAATACTAAAACGGCAAAATTGTCGCAGAGACTGACAGTTATGAAAACCACACAATTCTATCAAAAATTGGTTAATGTGTGTTAATACTATAAAAGAGGTAAAAGCAAAAGACATTATGAGACGTAGATATGGGAAGGTGTTTCACAAGAACACACATAGACCCAAGGTCTTGTGTCCTAAGCAATGTAAATGTTTGCAATAACACAGTAACCTCATGGTGAGCAGAGGAGGCAGCTATGATGCCAAATCATGGTGGTATGTCTATGGAGCCTATCAAAGAAGGAAGGCAAATGGCAAGATAACAGCATAATTGACTGGGAATCATCAAATGATGCTGCTCCTCTCTCACTGCTCTCCTGGTGGAAAATAGCCAGGAAAGTGTTTCTTTGATAAAGACAAATCATTTGCTAATTACCTCCTTTTGTAAAAGAAGCACCTCCTGACAACTCCTACCAGGTGAATAACAGAAGAAAAAATATATGGTCCTACCTATATGTGTATTACACCCAACCCTACTACTCCTTTCAACTAGATGTCATGGAAGCTGTCTTGACCCTAAACCAGTGCCTGTCATCAGCAGTGGAGTGGATGAGGACAAACCAATTAAAACTTAATTCAGACAAGACAGAGGTACTCTTGGTCAATTGGAAGTCAGATCAGGAAATAGAGATCCAGCCTGTGCTGGATGGGGCCACATTCCCCCTGAAGGCACAGGTTCGCAGTTTGAGGGTCCTCCCTCTTGGCGCTGAACTTGGAGGCCCAGGTGTCAGCGGTGGCCAGGAGGGCCTTTGCACAATTAAAACTTGTGCACCAACTGCGCCTGTTCCTTGAGAAGTCAAATCTGACCATGGCGGTACATGCCTTAGTTACATCTTGTCTGGATTACTGTAACATGCTCTACATGAGGCTTCCTCTGAAGAGTGCTTGGAAACTTCAGGTGGTTCAAAGAGCTGCAGCCAGGTTGCTCACTGGGGCTGGCTACAGGAAGCGGACAATCCCCCGTTACAGAAGCTCTACTGGCTGCTAGTCTGTTTCTGGGCAGAATTCAAAGTGCAGGTTATGACCTTTAAAGCCCTAGAAGGTTTGGGTCCAGGCTATTTGGACCACTGCATCCCCTTGTATGAACCTGTCCTGAGATCTTCAGGAGGGGTCCTTCTCTCGGTCGCACCTCCATCTCAAACTTGATTGGTGGGAACGAGAGAGAGGACCTTCTTGGTGACTTCTCCATGACTGTGGAACTCCCTTTTCGCAGGGAAGCCAGAACGGCACTCTCCCTGCTTTCCTTCAGACAGGCTTTTAAAGAGGGAGGTTTTAAAGATCAAGTCAGGAGGTGCTGTGGTTTTTAACTTTGAACATGTTTTCATGGTTTTTAACTGGGAATTCTTTATACTGTTTATATTAAATCCTGTTTTAATGTTTACATATTTGTATATTTAAAATTGTATGCTGATCTTTTATTTTAAGCTACTTTGAGTCTCCTGCAGGAGAGATAAAATGGGTATTATTATTATTATTATTATTATTATTATTAATAATAATAATAATAATAATTATTATTATTAATAATAATAATAATTAATAATAATTAATAATAATAATAATAATAATAATAATACATCATGTCCTCAACTGCTGCAAGAAGATCACGCAGACAGACTATAAGCAGAGGCATAACACCGCTGCTCAGATGATTCATTGGAACTTGTGCCACAAATACCTGGGATCACCAGCCTGAAAAAGTTACAGAAAATGGGCACGTCAAACTACTCTGGGACTTCCTAATTCAAATTGACAGAGTTTTGGAGCACAACACTTCTGACCTCATGATCGTGTTAAAAAACAAAGTATGGATTGTTGATGTTACAATCCCAGGTGACAGAAGGATGGAAGAGAAACAACTGCAAAAGCTGACACGATATGAGGTTTTAAAGATTGAACTGCAAAGACTCTGTCACAAACCAGTAAAGGTGGTCCCAGTGGTGATTGGCACACTGGGTGCAGTGCCTAAAGACCTTGGTCTGCACTTAAACACAATCGGCGCTGACAAGATTACCATCTGCCATCTGCAAAAGGCCACCCTACTGGGATCTGCATGCATTATTCGCCGATACATCACACAGTCCTAGACACTTGGGAAGTGTCCGACGTGTGATCAAATATAACAGCCAGCAGAGTGATCTTGTCTGCTGATGTCTCATCTTGCTGTGTTTCAAATAATAATAATAATAATAATAATACCATGAGAGAAATCTCATTGTTATCCCACTGTAATTGCAGTCTGCCTCCTGCTGTTATCCTACAGTAATTGTGATCAATCTACCTTGTGTGACATGATCCTATGTCTGGCCTTATTCCATAATTAGGAATACCTTAGGTAGCAAATACTGAAGAATATATAGTAAAGGAATTATTGCATTTTTTTTTACCCTTAAAGAGTTTAAGAATTGAGCTTGATAGCAGAATGAACTCAGCAGTTTATTTCAGAAGACAGTGCCAGGTGGACTCTGGCTAGAAGACCAAGATTGCACACAGAACAAGCAATTACACAAACTTTATATAGGATTCTTACAAAAATGTGCAGTGGCAGCAAATGGGCAACAAAAAGCCCATGACAAACTCACCGATAAAGAAGAGTAAGTACTATTTCCAAACTACAGTATGCATGTCACACCTTTTTTGTGTATTTTGTTCTGGTGTTCTGGCTGTTATCTCATCAACTAAACATGTCAAGGTGTTTCAGACATGGCTCAGAGTGCTTTGTACATGTTTAACTTAAATTGAAATCACTAGGAACTTAATAACATTTTCTGTCTTCAAACTGGGAAGCACTCAATAAAATGTGCATAAGAATCCAGAGACATGTTTCAAGCGGCTCAATTAATGGAAAATTTATTCGTTAAAAAATCTTTATATTTCAGCCTCAAGGCCTTTTAAAGAGGATATTTGCAAAGTAGCTTCAGAAATGTAAACAATCACACCATTTACTGGACAAAATATTGTTTCTTCTATGAATTTGTTTCATTTAGGCCTTACAGTTAGTTTTTGATTTTCCCTCTTCAGGATCACTGGCAAGGTGCTGGAGATACAACTAAATTCATGCCATATAAATTGGTCCACATCCCCGTGGGGCAGTAAAGGGTCCAGTGAACTACTAGTACTCAAGATTCAACTGTTGGCCTGGTCACCTTCAGTATATGACATAGAAGGGTCAACATCCTGCTCTGAATTTGCCTGCTAACAGTGTTTTTATTGGTTCTGCCAATAAATTTTATACACCCTACTTAATGTAAATTCTATTTATTTAATGTCTTACCTCTAGTTGGGGCCAACAAATGGATTTAGGCTCCTCAACCTTCAAAGAGCTATTCTGAGACCAATGGGTAGGTTAATTATGGGTGTATCTACATGGTAGAATGAATGTGTAAAGTTTGATGCCACTTTAACTGTTATGGAATCCTGGGATTTGTCTTTAGTGAGGCACCAGCAACTTTGGCAGAAACAGCTAAAGACCTTGTAAAATTACAACTCCACAGCATTGGCCAATGGCCATTAAAGTGGTATCAACTGTACCCTACCACTCTCTAGTACTTGAACCTTTGATTTGACGATGAACTTCATCTGATGGATGGAAAGTGGGAGAAAGTGAGAACATGATCTTCTTGTGTGTAGAATTGTCTTCTTTGGGTTCCATCGCCCATCACACATGATTGCCTCCTCTCGCCTCTACCATCCTCTTAAAAGAGTCCCAAGGGACCATTTTGTTTTTATAGGTGCCTTGCCCCACTCCTATTCCCTTTTGTTGTTGTTGCCTTCAAGTTGTTTCTGACATGGTGATCCAAAGGTGACCCTGATACAAGGTTTTCTGGGGCTGAAAAAGTGTGACCCACTCCAGGTCTCCATGGCCAAGCTTAGAATTGAACTCTTGTCTCCAGAGTTGTAGATTTTGAGTGAGTCTCAGCCTCAAAAAACCCAGTGATAAATTTGCCTTAATTAATTAATTTAAAACATTTATATTTCACCCTTTTCACTCCAAAGGGGACTCAGGGCAGAGCACAACATATATCTGGCAAACATTCAATGCTGGAACATTAAAAAAACTTATAAATATACATAAACACTAAAATCATTCATTTCCACTGTGAAATCAATTGTTTAAAACCATCTCAGATCAGCTCAGATCCTAGCTTAAGGTCACCATAAGCTGGGAACAACTTGAAGCAACACAACAATGTATTCAAGATAAAAATAATGTGAAGTATAATAATTACCTATCATAAAAACTACAGTTGTATTCGTGTAAGTGCGATTCTGAAAAGGGTCTAATAAATCTAATGTTATTTGAGGTTGTACTTCTAATATAATATAAGTACAATACTAGTGCTGTCAATTTGTAGCTGAGGGCTCCATTTACATTATCAGTCATTTCAAAGAAAAAAACACAAAACAGAATTTGTTCTTCTGACGTTATCATTTTGCCCTTCAAATCTACCAGATGGTGAGATTTTGAAATGAGAACTAAGAAAATGCAATAGATCCTCCGACTAAGTGAAATGCCATTTCCTGCAGTTTCCTGGTTGCTGCCAGAAACCTTTGTATCGTAATTCAGTATAAACAGCACTCATGAATGCTCAAACCATTGCCTAACCTAATAGTCTTTACTTCTCATTCAGGTAAATTAAATAGTTCAAGGTAACTTGGCTACAATGTGTAACTTCCTTACAAGGAAACCCAAGTGAAGGTGGTGGTATTTACTTCTGAATAAAAATGTTTAGAATAACACCAAAGCTTAATGTGCTCTTCACTTTTGATTTTTAATTAGGCTGATGAAATACTTCTATCCATGTTTGGTGAGTAACAAAAACATTTTGAAGGTAGAAGAAGCAGAGTATCATGCTCTTGAACACCACCTCACTTAGCTTTTCTTCCTGGCAGATATTATTTTGCATCAATTTTGCATTAATTACAAATTTAAAAAGAGGTTTGTTTTGTGCAAACAGGTAAAAAACAGAGGATTGATTTCACTGAGTAACCATCAGAATGTCTTTGTTTAATATATTCAAATTACATTTAATTGTTCAAAGTTTACTCTGGTACATGCAAAGCATGACACTGCCTGAAGTATTTTGCAATGAAGGTCAGTCTCTGTGCTTATTGAGTGGTAGCTCGGCTTTAAAAAAACTCACACAGAGAAAGCAATTGAGAAAGAGACACTGTGCACCATCCAATCCAGAGGGAATTCTCAAAGCCTGTAAATGTCATAAAGCCCAGCTGAAAACATTGGAAAATATAAGAAGCCCAATTGCTTCCCTTTGGTTTTTGTAGTGGATATCCAATGCAGTTGTTACCTGTTTTAGATCAGGCCACTCCTTGGGCAGAATGTGACTGTGAATGTCGATTTTCATCTCTGAAGGTTCACCTAAGGATTCACTTTTAATAAAGGCTCCTCCCTCAATTAAACTGTAATTGCGCCTGTGTGTTGTGTGTCGTCCACAAAGTGGTAGTTTTTCATTAACTTCAACTGCTGCTCAAGCCCTCCCACTGACCAATACAGATCCCTGCCTACCAATCCAGTATTTCATAAGAGCTCTGCTGTGCCAAAGGCAGAGGCGTGCAAATACTCTTCAAGCCAAATGCCCTTGGTTCTGAACTAGGCAAGAGTGAAAGTACAAACGAAAGGAACAACATTTGACTGGGAGGCTTAAAGTGTTGATCTGTTAGCACAGTGGTTCTCAACCTTCCTAATGACGCAAACCCCTTTACACAGTTCCTCATGTTATGATGAACCCCAACCATAAAATTATTTTTGTTGCTACTTCATAACTGTAATTTTACTACTGTTATGAATCATAATGTAAATATCTGATATACAGGATGTATTTTCATTCACTGGACCAAATTTGGCACAAAACCCCGATACGCCCAAATTTGATACTGGTGGGGTTGGAGGGATTGATTTTGTCATTTGGGAGTTGTAGTTGCTGGGATTTATAGTTCACCTCCAATCAAAGAGCATTCTGAACTCCACCAATGATGGAATTCAACCAAACTTGGTACATAGAACTCCCATGACTAACAGAAAATACTGGAAAGGTTTGGTGGGCATAGACCTTGAGTTTTGGAGTTGTAGTTCACCTACATCCAGGGAGCACTGTGGACTCAAACAACGACGGATCTGGACCAAACTTGGCACGGATGCTCACTATGCCCAAAGTGAACACTGATGAAGTTTAGGGAAAATAGACCTTGACATTTGGGAGTTGTAGTTTCTGGGATTTATAGTAAACCTAAAATCAAGAGTATTCTGAACCCCATCAACAATAGAATTGGGCCAGACTTCCCACACAGAACCCCCGTCACCAACAGAAAATACTGTGTTTTCTGATGGTCTTTGGTGACCCCTCTGACATGCCCCTCACGACCCCCACCCCAGGGTTCCGACCCCCAGGTTGAGAAACACTGTGTTAGCAGGTTTTATGCCCTAAGGAAGTAATCCTTTGGATTAAAAACATTCCCAGAGCTCAGATTTAATTTTGCAAAATGGATTAAGTATTTTTTATCAAATACACAAGTAACCAGCAATGAGGGATTTTCACATAACTGGATAATTAGGCTTAGTTTCACCAAATTTTAAAATCCTATTAGGTGCTGCATGGTAATATGAATTAGTTTAACATTTTCTGACAATTAATATTTTTCATAATGCCACGCAATAATTCCCTCTGTTTGCTTAATTCCTGGTGCAATCCTCATTGGAGCTATATCAGGCCAAAGGGTTGATTTCTTTGTCTCCCCAAGTCATGGTCCCAAGCTAGATCACCTTTCTTGGTTGCCAGGCCCGTAGCCAGAATTTCGTTTCGGGGGGGGGGGGGGGGGGATTTTCAGGGGGGTTTCGGGGGGGTGAGTTTGGGGGGGGGGGCTGAGTCTGAGTGAAAGAGGGTCTACCTAGCAAACCTTTTGTATCATTACCCCAATACCCCCATGCATATGGGATATATTGAGTATGGTGATCAGATCATGATATGAATAAACATAACAGTTTAAATAATGCACCAGTAAGGCGTTTTCGCGAACCACCATGAGAATTTCGGGGGGGGGGGCTCAAGCCCCCCCCTCCCCCGGCTACATGCCTGTTGGTTGCTATCCAGTATCAAAAACCAGCACACAAGGTCCTATCATGCACTTAATGTGTCATGTACAATTTGGTTTTCTATTTAGCTTCAAGGATGGGAAATCTTGGAGAGAAATGAAATTAAAGAATCAATAGAAAAATGACTGGAAACAGCAATAATGGCCGCTCAGCCTTGTCACCAAGGAAGATAAAGCTGCCGAGAGAGACATAAAAGAATCTCTCGATGGAGGAAAGGCAATGTAAATATTGTTGCTATGGAGAAAAATCCAATGATCTCAACATTACACTTTGATGGCAGCTTTCTTCTGTATAATAAGGACAGTGATGGTTCATACCATTTGAAAACAGTTTAAACTTGAGCAAAGTATAATAAAATCTAGATTGAATGAATCTGGGGGTGGGGGTGGGGGGGGGAAGCACGCTAGCATTGACTGTGAAAATAAATCAATAGCATTGACTGATAATTACCCCAGATGTATTCATTTATGCAGCTGATACTTTAAAGTGGAGGACAGGGTACATTGGCCTTGCTGGTGACACAATCCTGAGAGCTTGCAAAATTTTGCTGGTGAACTTTCCAAATGCAGGCTTGCATTTTCTTGAATATTGTATAGCAGTAGTTCTCAACCTGTAGGTCCCCAGATGTTTTGGCCTTCAACTCCTAGAAATCCTAACAACTGGTAAACTGGCTGGGATTTCTGCGAGTTGTAGGCCAAAACACCTGGGGAACCACAGGTTGAGAAACACTGCTGTATAGCTATGTGTGCATGGGGGCGAGGGGGGGGGGCGGGTAACATTGTGTTAATAATGGAATGTATAAGTACAGTCCTTGCTGCTATTATTATAGAAATATCTATTATTATTATTATATCTAATAATAAATAAGATCTTGCAAGGCAGACTTCAGCAATACATGGAGAACATCTGCTTGCCATAGATGCAGGCGAAACGTCAGGAGAAATGCCTCTAGAACATGGCTCTATAGCCCAAAAAAACCCACAAGAACCATGGAGAAAGAGTTGCTAGATGTACAAGCTGGATTTCGAAAAGCCAGAGGAACAAGAGACCAAATTGCCAATATCCGCTGGATAATGGAGAAAGGCAGGGAGTTTCAGAAAAACATCTATTTCTGCTTTATTGACTATTCTAAACCCGTTGACTGTGCGGATCACAATAAACTGTGGCAAGTCCTTAGTGGCATGGGGATACCAAATCACCTTGTCTGTCTCCTGAGGAATCTGTATAATGACCAAGTAACAACAGTAAGAACAGACCATGGAACAACAGACTGGTTCAGTATTGGGAAAGGTGTACGGCAGGGCTGTATACTCTCACCCGACCTATTCAACTTGTATGCAGAACACATCATGCAACGCACAAGGCTTGATGAATCCAAGGCTGGAATTAAAATTGCTGGATGAAACATTAACAACCTTATATATGTTGATACCACTTTGATGGTTGAAAGTGAGGAAGAGTCGAGGAGCCTTATAACCAAGGTGAAAGAAGAAAGTGCAAAAGCTGGGTTGCAGTTGATCATAAAGAAAACCAAGATTATGGCAACCAGACTTATTGATAACTGCAAAATCGAGGGAGAAAACATGGAGGCAGTGACAGACTTTGTATTTCTGGGCGTGAAAATTACTGCAGCCAGGAAATCAGAAGATGTTTACTTCTTGGGAGGAGAGCAATGACCAATCTTGATAAAATAGTGAAGAGTAGAGACATCACACTGGCAACAAAGATCCACATAGTTAAAGGGAAGGCTGAGTGAAAAAAGATAGATGCTTTTGAACTGTGGTGTTGGAGGAAAGTTCTGAGAGTGCCTTGGACCGTGAGAAGATCCAACCAGTCCATACTTCAGGAAATAAAGCCCGACTCCTCATTGGAGGGAAGGATAATAGAGGCAAAGATGAAGTACTTTGGCCTCATAATGAGAATACCGGAAAGCTTAGAGGAGACAATGATGCTGAGGAAAATGGAAGTAAAAAGAAAGAGGGGCTGACCAAAGGCAAGGTGGATGGATGGCATCCTTGAAGTAACTGGCTTGACCTTGAAGGAGCTGGGGGTGGCCAGGGCTAACAGGGAGCTCTGGTGTGGGCTGGTCCATGAGGTCGGAAGTGACTGAATGAAGAAACAACAACACATCTATTGTTATCTATATATCTATATATTATAGAAATATCATCTACCAATGTGGCCATGACATGCAATATATGTTCCTGTTCTCTTTCTATAAAGCGACATAGCAAGAAAGAGACAAAATATGGTAGACAACAATTGTGCCTGTATTAATACCCTTAGATTAAGATTTCCTTCCACCCTCAAATTTCCAATAATTCAGTATCTTAAAATTTCAGTGTTTACAAGTACAGTCTGCATGATAGCACCAAGCACGTAAATAGAGAACAAGTGATAAAAATATGGATGTGTGTAATCTGGCAAATTCAGAGTCTTGAATAAACAAGGAAGAAGAGTCAACATTTCTAGATTATTGAGTTAACAGTGCTACCTCTGCAGGCTTTGGGGTATATGGAAAAGAGGAGTTGTTGCATCCAAAGAGTGATAGTGGCTCAGTCCCTTTTAATCTCTTAACCAAAATGGAAACTACTGCATCATATTTTATGCCTTCTAAATTTCAGAAGGATAGGTCTGGAAGGATTGATTTTTTAAACAAGGAATTGCCAATAGTGTTTTCTAATTCTTGACCATACCAGTTAAATTGTGCAAGGATAACTGGCCTTCTGAAGTGGAATTCAAAATTGACAGTCTTCATAGGTATAAATGCAACGAGTTTTATGCAAGAGCAGTTATTACTTTTTAATTTCCCAAAACACGCTCGTATTTATACCCCCTAGCTTTTTGTTACGACAGTGACATAGAGACAGCACTCAATAAGAAAATTTGTGCTGTGATTCTTCGAAGGAAATGTAGGAAAATGCTGAAATTTTGTGGGGAACAAAGGTCAGAGAGAATGGGTTGTTCTAGAATGCCTCTAGAACATGGCCATATAGCTCGAAAAAACCTACAACAACCCAGTGATTCCAGCCATGAAAGCTTTCGACAATACGTCAGAGAGAATATTTTGCTTTTTCTTACTGCCCCCCCCCCCCCCCAAAATGGCTTTTGGTTCTTTTTGGCAATTTCTATGGAAACAACATATATATTAGGGATATTCATAGGCAAGAAAACTGCAATCTTTCAGAATAAGAATAGTTGCTTGAGAGTTATGATGAAAGAAAAACATGTTTTGATTGCTTATTTTATATTCAGCAAATACAACAGGGGAAGGCCGAGTAATGGATGGGAAGCATACAATGGGACT